CGGCACATATCAATAAATCTGAACCCATGTCCAACCCTCAACCCCCCAATGACGTTCAGCCCTCGGCCTTCATCCGGCAAGATCGCCAGTCGACTCACCTCGCTCACCTGAATTCCTCAGTTTGCAAGACCTACTCCGTACAGGCTCACTCACAGCGTGCGCGCGCCCCCTACCTGTAGCGTCTCTATTGTCTCATGCCGGTGTCTTACGTCACGCATCGATGAATGTGACTTAAACAGCATGGCACGCATGGCTAAGCCCCTCCGGGAACCATCCAAAGCGCTTCCGATCTGCCGCCTGCATGATAATGCCTACGCCTTTACCCATTTTCGACAGCGGGTGTCTGGCCGCTCTGGCGTGCCGGGGGATCCTGGGTAGGGATGGGCACACCCTTCTTTTCCTTCTCTCCCCTTGTCCTCCTCTTTTCTGCCAACAGGCACACGAGGTATTTCGTGATATCTGATCTCCCGCCAGCCCGCTAGGGCCGTACCCTTCCCGGACGGAGGATTTTCTTACCTGTCAGATATCGAATGTGAGGGATGAAGAAGCACGCACCCTGCCACTTTGCGGGATGCCACCAATCACCACCCGCCTAGTGGCATGCATCCTGCCCGCGCATGGATTCGGTCGACTCTTTCTCGCGGATGATGGCGTTCGTGATATCATCTCACGCCCGCCTCACTTCTCGCCCGGTCAGATGACCAGGATGGGCGAGAGCGAGGTAAGACATCATTGACGAAGCATCATAGGTAAAGTCCCAAGCTAGACCCTAGGGCTTTGGGTTAGCCGGGGTGACAGGGAAAGAAAGAGTAGTGGCAGTGATATCGCTTTTCTTCAGAATATCTCAAAATTCCTTTCTCTTTCTCAAGTCTCACACAAGGAGTTAAAAAAGGGGTCTGGAATGGTCGCGGAGCACATTCACCGTGCGCTCCCGTACCGACTTTCAAATGCAATTGATACCCCCAATCGCATCTGCCGGGACCCTTTCCCTCATTCACCGAAGTTGCCTCGCTCCCTTGACCATTCTCGACAGGGACTCTGTCAATCAGTGGAAGAAGAAAAGAGAGCCTGGCAAATGCTACCATCAGTTGAGATGGGACTCACAACCGTGGCAGGCTCGAGTTGACACCCAATCACAGTTGATGATGGGTTAAAGGTATTAACTCCAAAGTCTTCCAGTTTACATGCAGTCTTCCGTCCCAACTCGACTGTTCTATTCAGCTTCGTCTCTTGGTGAATCTACATACTCATTCACCGTTCTTATTAGAGAACCTATTTTGGAAAATAAAAAAGACGACTTTTTTTTTCGATTTCACAGGCCGAACTCTTCTAGGAGTAGAAATCTCAGCCTTTACGATAGACTGTATCTAATATCACTTACAATGGCCGTCGCAAGCGAGATCTCTCCCATCAGGGAACACTACATCAACCAACTCACCCCTTTCGACAAGTTCATTGCAAGCCTCGGAAAAAGCGGACGCCCGACAAACATCCAGCTTGTGGATTTCGCAGACCTGGAGATTCTCGGGTCCCTCCCCGGCAAGACGGGAGCAAGGATCGTCACTAAGAAAGCCTCCGGCCTTACCCCACAAGAGAACTTCGTCTTCAAGGGGATGGACTTTGACCAGTACAAGCGAGACAGCAAAGACTTTAAGGAACACCAAGAAAAGACCCTCCTCCACGAGATTCGCACCTTGTACACCCTACCGCCCCACCCGAACATCATGCCCTGCCCAAAGGTCCTCGTCGTCGTACAAGACGGTGGCAAGAAGGACCGTATCTGTGGCTTCCTACAACCGGTCATGACCAAAGACTCGGTCGACGAGCAGGTCATGCGCGCCAACAGGGACGGCCGACGTCTCCCGCCGGGTCTCAAAGCCAAGTGGTGCTACCAGATGGCCATTGCGATCCAGCACACCCACCAGGTTGCCGAGAGCTACCACATGGACCTGAAGCCCGGCAACATCCTCGTTGACGATCAGAACAATCTCCGGCTCATCGACTGGGAGCAGAGCGGATTTTCCATGTTTACGCATCCGCCCGAGGTTACCATCGACCAGGAGGCCGAGGAATCGTCCGCCTCCACCGGCGCGAACGGCAAGCCGGTGGTCATTTATACCCCCCACACCGGCGCGCCCCGGAGGAATCAGAAGTGGGGATTTCCAGACTGGAACGTCCTTCCGGAGTGGAAGACGACGTGCCCCCGAGCTGCGGAGCTGGCGGAGGTGTTTAGTCTGGGAAGGACGATGTGGATGCTGCTCGAGCAGGTCGAGCAATCCCCCGACCCTACAGTATGGACGGCCATGGCCATGGACATTCCGAAAGAGTGGCAAGACATGGTCATGCGGTGTGTTGAAAGAGACCCGAACAACCGGCCCGAGTTGAACCAGGTGGTTGCATTTTGGCGCAAGCAGTTGTGCTAGGGCTACGAGACTACGAATTTTGCTTTTTGGGCATACTTACACACAGCGGTGTAACATCAGGGACATGGAGTTTCTGGGGCACTCACACAGCGGAGGTTACATAGAGGGAAATCCTTCGGGACCCTACTAAACTAGTACTTGAATTCTAAGCAACAAATACTCCCATCTCCTCAAGTTTAGTGACAACTTCGCTCATAGTAGGAAATCCATCATGACCATGCTTTCATCACCATAGCCCAGACCAATGGCGAAGCTTCGGCACAAGGTTTGAATTTGCGCCGTGAAAGAGGCGACCCAAGAATAGAGACACTAAGGCAGAGAACCCCTGCTTGCTGCAGAATGTCGCAAGCGACTCTGCTTTTGTCAAAGTCGATTCCTTCGGGTGGAGCAATCCCATTTCCCTCGCCCTAGCCAGCCTCCCATTTGTGACTGAACAAGGGACGCTGGCGGTGATCTTCCCCCTTCAATGAGTTGTTGAGTTTGTGCATATAGGAACTTACCCACAACGATTCTGAAGGTTTTGAGAGCCACAGCTTACAGTTGGTCCAAGGGGCAGTTTCGAAGCCTTGACTGGCCGCCTCCGCAGACCACTAACCCCAAGACTGCGACCCCGATCTAGACCCAGCACCAATGCCTTGCCAAGTTGCCCCATCCTGCCAAAAAGGCGATGATCTTGCCCCGAAATCGAAACTTTGCCATCCCATCCCGCCCTGTGGATCAACACCCTGCGTTCTAAACGTGTCTCAGGCGCCGGTGGGAGGGCAGGTCCGCATTCTCGTAACCCACATTGCATCTTATGTATCGGCCGAGAGATTTAGAAAGCCACTGCCACGGCAAACCGTTCTTCCGGTCTTGAGTTGCAATGAGAGGCGTGTGAGGCTGTAGAATAATATCGGCAATCCTTGTCTGCGTGCCTTACAAGGTCTAATGCCGCGCGTTCATACCCTCAACAACTCTCCGCTAGTATGGGTGAACTGTGAACGTGGCCGCCAAAAACCCACTCCGCGCCACAAGTGTTGAAGAACCCGACTTAAAGTGCAACATGTAGATAACCCAGTGGGCCAAGTGTACTTTTGCTGGGACGAAGTCTCTAAGAAAACATCTTGGCCCTATGATAGCCTGCCGAAATGATTGCGTGAACGGATGATCCCGCTTATCATCCTAGACTGCCGGCCAGCCGGCGGGCAAATTGTAACCCCCCCCCCCCCGGCCCCTTTTCAGAGGGACGGCTACCTGCATCGATGAAGCTGATTAGCAACCGGAAGAAAACCTCCATAAAATTATTGTTGGTTACCTAGTGTGTACAGGCCTTACAACTGTATGAGATCTAGGTGTAGCAACAACCTTATTTCCTTCTGCGACGGATCGTGAGGCGGACGGTGAGAATGTATACGTTGCTAGCTTGAAGCCACCACAAGGTAGGTAGATACGGCAAAATGTCAAGATCTCAAGAACCGTACCTGATTCTCGGTATCGATTGAATTGCGCCCGTAGAAATGGGGATCGACGCCATGTGATTCAACGAGAAGGGTGTAGTCCTTAGCATGTTGTTAGTTAGCGTGTTCTGTCACAGTAACATCCCAAGTTTGGGAATCACGCCAACTTTACGCCGCGAGTGCCGAAACCTCGATTCTAGCTCCAGTGGTGTAATTTTGCCGCAATTTTGAATTTTCGAGATTTTTTTGGGAGAGAGTGTTTAACCTTGTTGGCGAGGAAACAACGCCTAAGAGCATAGTCTTGCACCTGAAGATATCAAAGCCCATATGGCCTCCTTGGGCAACGGTCACGGATTTTAGCCGTGGTGAATCCCCGTCGCCACGAAGCTGTAAGGGCACGACGAACGGCTTCTTTTGTCACACCCTAGACAGCCCTGATAGCTTAGGGCACGTTAATGTATCAGGCGACTGAGACATCAAAGTCAATTTTGGGATACGAAATGCAACTAAGCTACACCCTGACCAATTGTCTTCAATTTGGACGGCCTTGGGGACGGAATGTGTAACGAGCTAAACCACGCGGGGATGGATTATCTATGCCGTATACGGATTTAGGAGATATGGCCAGGTGGTTCGCAATATGAGAACTGAGCTGAAGGCTCTGAGATCTGCTGGCACCTTTGGATAGGGCAGATAAGCTGCCCACTTACAGAGCCACCATTTGAAATTTGAATGCTCGGCCTAGGGGTCTTTGGGTCCTTAGGTCTTATAGCCGATTGTGATTCATTTCCAAAGGGGCTGGGTGAAGAACAGGACTGATGTTGTTTCCCCCTCGCGCGAACAAAGCTATCGAGTGCTTACGGTGAAAGTCAGGCTAAAGCGCGAGGAAGTGGAACGTGGCAATTGGCCACTGGTAAAAACCAAATAGTTCACTTGCAGAATCCATGAATCATCGGATTTGTTGGATTGGATGTTAAGCGAGCTTTGGTCGTCATCTTCGCGTCTATTCATGTATCTACCTTGCCAGACCCAACCCTCCCATTTTGATGTCTATACCCGTGCCTGGCGTAGTTTTTGTTACCCTTCCTGTAGTGTCCCAAAGCTCTGGAAAAAGTGCAGTTCTTCTTGTGGACCAACTCCCTTACTGGTTGCCGAGAGTCTTTCCAAGCTCCTCACCGCGATCCGCCGCAGCCTTGACAGCCTTGTTGACAATCTCCTGGAAGCCAGATGCCTCGAAGCTCTGAAGGGCAGCATGCGTGGTGCCGTTGGGGCTGGTGACGTTCTTGCGAAGCTGACTGGGCTCCTCGGGGGACTCGACGAGCATCTTGCCGGCACCGAGACAGGTCTGGGTGGCCAAGCGCTTCGCCTGCTCAGGAGAGAGGCCAAGACCAACAGCGCTGGAAATAAGGTGCTCGACCATGGTGAAGAAGTATGCAGGACCGGAGCCTATGAGTGTTCTAGTGTTAGGTTTGTCCTATTTCGCTGACGACTAATGCAGTGTGTCCTGTCATAACTTACCCGACAAGCCTGTGACGACATCAATCAGCTCCTCTTTGTCAACCCACTCCGCCGCCTTGCTGACGCTCGCCATGAGTGCCTCGGTCAACTTCTTCTCGTCCTCCGTCACGTCGCTACCTGCAAACAGACCAGACGCGCCCTCGCCCACTAGGGCAGGAGTGTTGGGCATGACACGCACGACGTGCGGGGACCGGCCATTGTCGAGCGCCAGCCACTTCTGGAGGGCCTCGAGGGTGATGCCGGCGGCGATAGAGACGACGACGGGCACCTTTTCTTGGCCTGAGACGGCCTTGCCAAGCTCGTTGCAGACGCCCTTTGCGACCTGGGGCTTCACGGCCAGGATAGCAATGTCGGCGCCGACAAAGGCCTCTGCGTTGGAGGTGGTGGTCTTGACGCCGAGGGCGGCCATCTTCTCACGGTTCACGTCCCACGGCTCAGAGACGGTAACGTTTTGCTTGTCGATGCCCTTTGCGACCAGGCCTCCGATAATCGCTGCGGCCATGTTGCCGCCGCCTACGAATACCCCGCGTTAGCCCCGCCATCGTGAATGATTTTCTGGTGTTGCGTGGGACGTACCGATGAAGGCGATCTTGCTGGATTCCAAAGCAGGTGCCATGTTTGATATTGTATGAATCCAATTGAATTAGATTGTTTTCTTGAGAATGCGCAGCACGATGAGATGAGATGTTGATATGTGCAAGGAGTTTGAGGAAGTCGATGAATTTGACTCGGCCCGGAAACTGTGGCGCTGCTATCGGACCCACTGTTTCTCTAAAGTGTGGCGTCTAAAAGCCGAACCACAGAGCCAATTCCCGAGCGCCCAGCTGTCTGAATCCGTGGCCTTGATGAACAGTTTCTGTGACTTTTTTTTGTTCACAAGCATCAAGCACTTGTAACAATATTGCTTGGTTGAAATAGTGGATAAGAAGTTCGAGTCTATTGACTCCTGGAAGTGTTGTCTTGTGACCAATATTGACTCATGACAAAAGTGCTTGAGGGTCTCAAGAGGCCCATAAGAGGCACAAGGGGCCTACTTTAGTTTGGGCTCCATAATCCACACCTTTATGACCGTATCATCTAAACAATAGTCAAAGTGGCAGACTGATTAGCCCAAGTGAAGAGATGTAGATCCACAAGACAAGAGGTACTGTTGCACGATGTTGATTCATTGAGCCAGCACCATCCTCGCCCCTGATGCCGTTCATCCACCAAATGGGGCGTGGAGTCATTAGGAGAAACTTTTCTGGACAGATGCAAAGACAAGACTGAATGATGAGATAGGTCTTTTTAGCCCTGGAGACTAGTTAAAGTCATTTCATATCATAGTTGCGTGTAGTTCTGGGAACTGTAGTACTTACTGATATCAAACACATATTCTCAAGATCCATACAGGAAAGGCGTAAGAGCTGGCCTAGACCCGACGCCTATGACCGAGTCTCCTCACTTACTTTTGACTCCGAATTGTGATTTGGGGAAAGAACTTCTAAGACTTTGTTGAACTTGATTGTGCTTACTGACTTTGACCCCATCCATATCAAATATTCTCTGCTTGTCTTTCGAAATACATCAATGCTTATCCAAGTATACCAAACTGAATCCGTTCGCCTGACCTTCAGTGGTAGTACGGTCGTTCCTCACGGCTCGAAATTGTAACCCATTATACCTAGTCGACATGACAGAACTTGAGAATGTCCCAAGACTTAAGGTAGGTCTCCATTATCTTCCCGTTCTTTCTCGTTAACACCCCCAGGAATAATCCACTCCCACTCCGGGGGGGCCAGGCACTTTCTGCAATCTAATCCCGGGACGTTCTTGCATCCCCACCAGCGTCCGCGCTTTTCCGGCGGCCAAACATCGCCGTCGGTGCAACAAGGGTGACATTGTCGCTTCTGGATCTTCTTCGTCGGCTCGAGATGCCTCTTCGGTTTAGATTTCTGTGCGATGTTGAATTCATCTTCTTCGTAACAGCTTATCGGCGCCTTGGCGCTGCAGCAGGCATTGATCTCAGGACAGTTCGGATCCGAGTTGTTGCGGAGAACATGGGTGGCTGTGATGGTGCATGTCGGACAAGCCTTTCGAATGTTGTAGAGTGTCTGTTTAGAGATGCGCGCTGGTACTTTTGCGATCTTGTCTTCCGTGGCTGTTGGGGCGGCCATTATGCCGCCTAGAAGAGTAGCGGTGAAGAGTAAATAGACCTTCATGGTGGTAGTGTGGGCGAAGATGAGGCTTTTCAACTGAGTGAAGCTTGATCATTGGCAATGCAAGAAGGGAGAAAAGGGACAATGAATCAAAGGCGTTCACCGTCCCGTTTTATAGTATTCCATACAAACTTTGTAGACATGGTTAGAAAGGTCCTCTTCAGCGGCTCATGTTAGACGTCTTATTTGCTGTCAAAATAAAATTTGACCGCATGTTAGGCCATTAAAAGTTTGCTTCTCGATGTATCTCACGGGAACTGAAACCTCTTGCTTGCGGCTGGCTACCTTGATGTATCAGTGAAAATAAGCCTAGACCTTTATGGTCATGGCAGTCACCCCGGGACCATACAGGTAGGTAAGTATGTGACCCATATCATCGTATCACGTATCCCATTATTGTAGCTTATTCTAGAAGGTACTCAGGAGACTTTAAATCAACCCATCCCAAGTTGGGTTCCGACTGCTTCCACCCTAGACGATCACGTACAAGTTTCGAATATGTCTTGACATCTTCGATCGGGTAGCTGAGATATGGAATCTCCTGCAGTTGTGTGAGTAACCGTTCTTTTTAGTCGATTCTAGGAACTCCAGTGTCTGGTCTTACCTCTTGACGGTGAACACCGCTACACATGAACATTATGTGTACAGTTCGACATCCCGTCTCTAGAGAATACTCCCCGGCGCCGTGATACAAACTGCCCAACATCACAAATGCCTCGCCCCTCTTCATTTCCGCATTTTCAACACCCTTTCGGCCATCTGTCCCGAAATCAGGTTTTTCATCGCCCCACAGATGCGACCCAGAGACGATCCGGGTGGCACCGTTTGCTTCAAAAGTGTCACATTCCGGAACGAATAGACCGAGCAGCATGTCGCGTCCCTTTGTGTAATGACTGGTCCTGACGTGCCTCGCATGATGGTTTTTATCGTCGCGATGCAGTTTCTGAGCTTTCGCTCCCGGTTGAGAGGACATTGTGATGGAGATTGAGAGCAAAGGGTCGGATTTATGGATAGTGGGCTCATCTCCGTGCCATATTTCTGTCTCAAGCCCGATGAAGTGATCGGCAATGCCCTGTGATGTCGTTTTTGGTGAATGATAGGTTCGCAAACTTAATAGGGATATTGTGAGCGCACCTGATATAATGAGTCCGAGAAGAACTTCTCACGAACAGTCTTGCTTCGACCGACCAGCCTTGTACAGGTCGCAGTCCCACCGTTCAAAGCACCGACAGTGCTTCCAGACGATGCGAGCGACTCATCAAGATACGGCTGCACTTCCTCATGCGCGATGTCAAGGGAATCCAAGTCGGTGAAGTCCTTGATGATAACGCACCCATCCTGTTCTATTGCGCTAATGAAGGCCTGCAACCCAGCTGCTCGATTAAGTCGTTGGACCATTTGAGACTTCTGATTACAATGTAAGTAGCTTAGCCTTTGATGGATGCGCTATTCGGAGACTATAATGAATGTCAGGAAGTAAGACAGAGAGTTCAACACTATTGAAGGGTTGACTAACGTTGTCGATGGAGAATCTTTTGGGTTGAAGTTGTCTTAGCCTCCAGCTTCCCCTCGACTTGGCAGACTGATAGGATGATCCCGGAAAAGATAACGCGACAGGCGGCGGGCGGAGATGAGGAGGTGTAAGTGGAGACTGGCAATGCGTCTCGCGCCATGCGAACCGCCCGGCTTCTAAGTTATCCCGCCGGCGCATCAGCACGGCATCAAGGAACCGAAGGCTTCACATCCTCAGAAGTGAACTAGATCGCTCGGGCGACTAGGCAGTCTTGGGCTGAACCGTCATAACAGCCTCCGCTGCAATATCTAATATTTCAAAGCTTCCACCGTTTGAGCAAACTGTGTGTTGTAATTTTGGGACTTCGGGACGCAACTTTAGCGCAAACACAAGTATTAATCCATATTGTCTGTTATCATCATGCACATTTAAGCTTCATCAAGTGCTTGTTCGTGCCTTGTAAACACTACATTAATATCATTGGCTTTATTAAGGTACACCCATTAAACCTTTGGAACACAGGCTTGGTATATGTGCTTTTAGCCTGTTACCGCGGCACCGGTACTCAAACAAACGTGGTACCGTATCCACTCTCACCTCCAGGCAAGACATCGACAGAAAGAGGCGCTTCATAAGGAGCTTCAGAGCTGCTGAATTCTCCCTCGAGAGCTGAGAAGGGAATGTCCCTCCAGGTCTGCTGGATCTTCCTTGCGCTCTCCAGGAATCGAGTCTTGATGTCTGCGTAATCAGGTGCCACCAGCTTGTGGTTTTTCTTGACAAACTTGCCGTCCACCAGGACGTGCTCGATATCGCCCACACTAGCGTGTAGAATTACAGCAGCGACAGGGTCAACCCAGCCAAGGAGGGCGGGACTTTCCCCATCCCAGACGACTACGTCGGCTTTGGCACCTTCGGTTATGACGCCTAGGTCCGAGCGGCGAAGAGCAAGTCCACCGTTTCTCGTGGCGAGGAGGAAGGCCTGGTTCACAGTCATTGGCGTGCTAGTGGGCACGCGCCAATTTGCGAGGACTTGTTGGTAGAGTAGGCGGCGGGTGCTCTGGAGCCAGAGGCGGGCTTGGGTAAGGATGTCTGTTGAGAAGGTGAAGTGAGTGTCGACACCAAGGGAGCCTTGATCTTGGATTAGATGGCTGTGGGGATGTGTGTGACCGTAGTGCATCTCCGACTCTGGCGTGATGGAGATGTACTGGTTGGTGGAGCGGAGGAGTGATGCGCCCTTGTAGGTGAGGAACGAAGCATGCGAAAAGACCACTGGGATGCTGGTATTCAGTGCCCCGATAGCATGGACATCCTCCGGACTGTTGGTGTCTAGGGAGTAGTCAGTATGAGAGCGGCACAATCGTGTGTTTAGGTTCAAAGACTTACTTCCCCATGGGCCCTGCAGGCTGTGAGTTGTAATCACCGAGACGTTGAACTCCCTGCCACGTGTTAGAATGACTCCTACTGCTATCTTTTATTAGACAACCTACTTTGCAAGGTCAATCACCGCAGTAACATCCGCGAGAACACCGTCAGTCCCGAAGAAGTCGCAGGCGACCCCCAAACTGGTAGGGGTACCGTCGAACTCGGCCTTGGTCGCGATATCCCTGAAGTTTTGCAGCTGTTCCGAAACCGTGTAATTAGTGACGTTGTGAAAGGCGTACGACCAGAAGACTCTCGCGCCGCTGTCGATGCTACCTTTCAGCCCCGCCTCTGAAGTCTCATCAGACCAAGTATGGTGTGCGTGGTCAAGCGTCGTCGTGACACCAGCGTTTAGGGCCTCGTAGAGACCCGCAAGCTGACCAATGTAAACGTCATCTGCGCTCAGAAGGCCAGCGGCAGCATATTCGCCGTAACGTGTGAAGTACTCCGCCAGTGAAGTATTCGATGCGATGGTCCTGAAAGCTGTTTGCCAGCCATGACGGTGGGTGTCAACGAAGCCCGGTGTGATGATCTTGTTCGCGACATCGATGACTTCCGTATCGTTGGATGTCTGCGGCAAGGGCTGATCTGATGTATAGATGGAAGTGATACGGTCGTCGGTGATGAGAAGGGAGCCGTTGCGAACGACGTTCAGGGAGTTGCTGGACTCGTCAAAGCCAACAATCGTACCGCCACGAAGTAGCACTGAAGATGCATTCGCGAGGGTGACAAGCCCGGTGATGGCCGCTGCCAAGCTGATGGGAGGCATTTTTCGAGGTCAATGCCCGTTGAGCGAGCTTGAGTCTGTCGTATGCTGTCTTGGTCTTCTTCAGAAAACTCTCCAAGGCAGCGCAGAGACGGCCTTTAAGGTAAGTTCAAGTTCCATCGCGTTTATCTCGCTTTCTCGTGTCTCAAATCCTCGCATCTGACGAGTTGAGCGAGAAAAGCCTGAACTAGGGAAAAGTCCGACTTGGCAATCTAAGAGGTGGAATTCGTTGTGGATTTTTGCGTTAATGTAATGGGAAGCCGCGAAACTATGGGACTTTTGCATTAGTCTTCTCGTAAGCTCGGCCTATGATCATGGACTTCTGTAATGCCGTACGCCCCTCCACTCGACCTAATGGCGGCTGACTTTGGCTCGCGTGACGTGCTGAAGAATAGCTGACAATGCCGTGATGGAGTCTGAAATCTGGAGACTGAGGAGGAACCACTCTTGCGTGGATTATGGGCCCATGCTTTCCCAGCGGACGCTACTCCGACTGGGGAATGCGGATATACTCAATTTCTATCGCCGTGACTCGGAGAGGTCGGAAGTTGTCATCGTGAAAGGCTTTTCCTTGGCGGCTGCTTGGCTTAACCTTGATTAAAGGTATCTTAGATGACCCCCACAGCTGTCAGTGCTGACACAACTCTCTATTTTTGAGCTCCTAATTAGTTTCTGTCCGGATAAGTGAAATGAAAGTTCAACCGACGGGTCGACGACAGGATTTAGCTCGTAACAATGGACCCGGACCCGCTTCGGTAGTTCGCGGGCCCCATTCCGGACCCCGGCTCGGGGCCTCTGCAAACGGGTCACTCCAGATTCTGCATTCACAATACCCAATACCGGGACAGGGGCACGTGGTCAGGCCATCTTAACCTGGAAGTCCGGTGGGTAGCTTATTTGTATGTAACTAAGTTTTCTACACTTCAAGAAACTCCTCAAGGGAGTCGGATTTGGACTGTCTTCTACCGAAGCTCTAGGGGAGAAACATGTGATTGCCAGCAGTGTCAACAAGTGAACATCAAGCCACAAGCTTTTTTCTAGACTTTCGAGTCTCTCTAGTTTTCTGACTATAGAGCGAAACGGGGAAGGAGTGGGCATTTGAGTCATGTGGAGCCTAACACTAAGGATCGGGCTAGAGGACGTACGGATTTTCGGAATTATGCGGACATACCGATTCTTGAATATCCAGATCTCACTGATTGTTGGTACTACTGAAGCATTAAACACTCGTATTTTCCGGCATGACTTATTATGGAGGTCTCTTCAAATCCTTCCGAGAAAAAAAAGTCGCGAGGCCGAGCAAGCTGAGGCACCATCTTCCCTGTAAACTATTCATCTATGACTGGGTAGCGACATTACTGGTAATTCGACGTTGATTAAATGGTCAAATATGATTCCCTTGTAAATTTTACCAGAGAATAGAAGATTTAGAGTCTTTAGTTGCGGTGAGGAAACTTCAATGGAATCAATCCTCGCAAACGTATTCTTTAGAAAGTCAGGCTCAAGACATAGCAAAAGCTTGAATTGGGTTGAACCGACATAATGCGGTATGATTGCGACCATCATGGCCATTTGGTTGCACGCATACGGATGAAAACCTTTTCCCCAGCCATCAATCCCCGTCGACACGGAACAGTGCCAATGACATAGCATCCGCCAACACGGCGTGGCCCGGACGCTGGCTCACGCTAAGCAATCTTCCCAACGGTATGTCACCACCCATAGATGGCGAACGTGGCCGCGAAGATGGATTGCCATCCAGCTCAGTAGGCACAGCTAGTGTTCGCTCCGAGGGGCCTGGAGACATGCCTCCTCGATTGGCGTTGCTTCTTCGTAATGTCGACTCGGAGCGGCTTGGCGCAGCATTATTTGGCGTTGGCGATAGGAACTGTGGCGACGGCGAAACGGCTCTAGGTGGAAGCAAGGCTACACCGCGCGGAGCCTCAAATCTTGATGTAGAAAGTGGCCGTCCTCGATCTCCACGGGAAGGAGGGCGCTTTTGCGAGTCTCGGCTGACCTCGTCTCGCAATAGCCCCCAGATGCTCTGAAGCCATCTTTGCTTCTCTTCTGGCTTCATAGAGCGGAGAGGAAGAACCTCGGCGCCGCCCATTTCTCGTGTTGGCCATGGGAAGCTGACTGCCATCTCCCTTAACGTTGCAGAGTCCATCTGTCGCAGTACTATCCGAAGTTGGGGCTCGACGTTAGCCACAGGGCCAAAGGCCCAGTCTCCTCTTTGTTCAAGTCTTTGCGCAATCTGAGCCATGGCACCCACCAGCCATTCAATCGCAACGTTGTCTGGAACAGTATTTGCCTTGCTCAGTAGCCAACCTAAGGTCTCTGGTGTACCGGACTGATTCAATATCGGGATACTGCGTTTGTCATGCTCGCGGTCCTGCAGCTTCATGATAAAGTCATTATACTGGTTCATAGCGGTAAGAGGCAGCCCAACGAATTTTCCCGCATTGAGCGCATGGACAATCTCGTCTCCCAGTGAGATGCCTGACTTGACACCACTGTTGAGACCACGGCCGGGCCAGAAGTGTACGGTCATGGCAGCATCGCCCGCCACTGCGACGAGGGCATGTGGGCGATTGATCGCTCCCGAGTCACAAGGCGGGAGATACTGGATGCCTTCTCGTACGGCCTGAACAACAATCGGGATCCGGACAACATTGATGACCTCGCTTTCCTTGAAGCCAAAGAGCTTCAGGCCGTCGGAAATTGACCTCCATAATGAACTTTCTCTGTCTTCCGAAGGAGCAAAGACTTGATTCTCGGTGAAACCTTTGGGTATAGTCCCATCGGGGTTTCGGAGGCAGCCAGGATATCCAAAGGTGACTGGCTGGCCATCCTTGGCAAGCATATTATGCCACTCTTCCTCTGTGAGTTGCATGTTGAGGTAGCCACGTCCATCGTAGTCACTAGCGTTCAGGAGATACCGAGTTTGACCCAGAGTCAAGAATACGTTCAAGGGCTGCGACCATGGCAGACCGGCTGGCCGATCAAACGCGAGGCCAAGGGCATAACTTCGCCCGCGTTCGTTTTCGTATCCGTGGAAATACGATTTGCGGACCCACGATACAGCTCCGTCAGCTCCAAGAAGAATGTGGAAGTCACCAATTTTTGCCATATTCTCATGGGCCACACCCTCCGCGTGGAGGTGAATTAAGTCCTGGAATTCGGCGGCGTGGCATCTCCGGAGAAGGCGGTCCTCGACTTTACGGATCTGGATATTGGAGGAGCCTGGCCAGACTCGCTCTGGACGACCTTCAAACAACGCCTGCTGAGTTGCTTTACTCATCAACATCGTGACTGATTCTTGTAGCGTGACAACCTGATCACGTCGTCTGGCTGTCGAGGGATAGTCGATGTAGGGTCCTCTCGGACCATCTTTGACGATCCACCGCCTTTCGTAGACGTGAACTTGAATTTTCCCAGCACCCTTCTCAGCAAGAGATATTGCTGACGCTAGCGCTGTTGGCCCACCGCCTACAATGGCTACCTTGAGACGACCGGAGGGATACTTGTAGACGATACCATTTGGTGGCGGAGGCTCAATGCTTCTGGCCATCGTCGGATCGAAGTAAAAGTCCATAATAATCTTGGTTTTGTCCGAGTATATGAACTCCGGGACCCTGGCTTTCAACAACATAAATCGCATGCATTGCAGAAGAGGCGTCGCTGCAAAGCTGGCGTGGCGATTTCCAAATATCCTCATCTGCACTGCAAGAGCTAGCGCCGGTATCGTCCGGTTTTCGTGGTTCATGACAATTGACTGCAGCTCCTGGCTTGTGAATGGGTCGGGATTCGTCTTCGCAAAGCGCACGAGGAAGATTCTAGCTCGTTCCAGCTCCGTTCGATTATCGCCGAATCCATCGCCGCCCCATGCCTCTTCATAGAGTTTAGGAAAGATGATTTCTTCGTGGGAATACATCCTCACTTGGCTTGAGCTCCGTGGGCGAAAGCCCGCTGGAGACAAGCCTTCGGGCATGGCCGAAAGTTCAAAGGCGAGTATGACAGGGAGTTTTGTGATGGATCTGTGAGAGTCTGACAGGGAACATGTCAAAGAACGGACGGATCGAAGGGATCAAATACTCAAGGGTCTGACAGAAGGCGCTTTCGAATAGGCTATATCTGCGCGCGGATAATAGTCTGCACCTGGAAAATCTGACACAAGCCATTGTGACCAAACTGATCACAGATTGGTGTGGCTACGGGTCGCTGGGTAAGTGTATCAGCGAAGGATTCCGCCTAGAACCAATTGTAGATAAATACCAACTAAAATGTGAGTCAGATTTAAGGACCATGTCTTATTTTAAGAACGGTTTCTGGCAGCCCGGGTGAACCGCAGCGAATCTGTCCACTGGCTCGAGCTGGGGATGGTGTCAAACACTATCTACCTACCTACTTTACCTAAGAAAGTGAAGAGATCTAGGAGGAGGCATTATTCAAGCCAGGCTATGAATCTCAGATTCGTAGACCACTAACCTTCACCACTACTTGTCTCTTTTCCTGGGATTAAGGAACTACTATTAGTCCTGCACAGTAGACGGAGTATTTTAGCGCGTTTAGTCTCGGGTCCGGACACCAGCCACATATCACGTTGGTCTCACGTGGACATGGGATTAAGAAGTCACACGTTAAAATGAATTCAGCGGCGGTTTCTAGCGGCAAATGCACGAACTGTAAAAGATCTGTTTTATGTTGTTGGCATCTATCCAAAATTATTTACTCTGCAAATGAAGTCCGTACTTTTACTCCTGGAAATTTGTGTTCATACATATTGACAAGTTCGATCCGCTGATCATGGATGTCAAATACAGCAACTGTACCTTTCCAAATTTCAAGCTACCCTCTGTGCAGCCAGCTCTCAACCTTGTATTGCGGGCTCATCTTCTTCTTATGGGAATGCTTATGCCTGTTGTCGTAAATTGTCTTCGCTTCCCCGGTTTTGGGATCCGGAACCATAACCTTGACGTTGTTCTTGGTGTCCACGTCGATGATGGCGGGTATCAGAACACTGGAGCTCGTGGCTTGGAATGACTCTTCGTCGCTTGTATCGTGGGAAAAGTCAGATCCTGCTGTCGGCTGGTCTTCTTGCGGCGCTGAGCTGGACGGATAACGGAACGTGTACGTGAATGCAGTTGCTGGATTCGGGGTTGTCTTGATGGGTTGCTGATAGTAAGACATCCGTGGCAATGGTTGCATGTAGTTGTAACTCCGATACGTTGGCGTGCGCGAAAAGTCCCACTCAATATCTCCTACTACAGTGTCAGTCATAAGCGTCAATGATTTGGTGGAAGAGACTCAAAACAAACCTGTGGCGCTCATTCGGCTTCTGTAGTAAAATCCTCTGCCCTCAGCATCATGGACCCATGACGACCAAGGTCCGGGAGTTGGAGCCACATAGTATTGTTCATAGGCTGCTCCTGGATTGGAAGTCTCTGCTTGCGACTCTCGAGTCGGACTACTCTTCCGAGAGCCTTTGGTGACATGCTTTCGATGCCTCATGGTGTCGTCTAAAGCCGAACGATTTGATTTTTGATGGTGAAATGATTACCTCACGCCAGTCTCTTGAGCGATTTTTTCGCGGAAAGGACGGCCTCGTCAAGAAGGGAACGGGTTCTTATAATAGCCAAATATCAAACCTCCCCGAAATCATCCGCTCCTAAATGACTCAAGAGCACAACAGCGCCCCTACATGAGAGTCACAATGCGAAATGGAATAACAAGCCGACTTGGCCGTATTGGAGGGTCAGATCAGGCAAGGCAACCTTGGGCTGGAACCGGGCAGCGAAACCACGCGTCTGGCTCGATCTGGTCTCGTCCATTGACGAATCACCGCGCAAGGCAGTCAGATCTCAACAATTCAGGCATTGTCAATGGTTGAGCCACACTCTTCGCCAAATCAGAGGCTTTCTCAAGTCCAACCGTCCAAGCAAAGCCGCTGCACTGCCTGCATCATGACATATGGCAACCTTTACCAATAACCTGTGGCTCGACTCAGCGGTGGCTCACGAGACCGAGCTGCAGCCTGCTTCAGGCTTTCTTGAGATGTCATATGACCGGCCAACGCGAGCTCCTGACGGCGCTTTCATCCTCATTGCTTACATATAACGAGAGTTGGTGCCACAGCGAATCACATTCAGCTCGACAAATTGGATGCGGGCGAACCATTGAGCCTGGCGGCCCAATTTGCATGCCATTCTGCCTGATGCCTCAAAACGGCTTCTGTCACAGAACTTGGCTAAGTGAACCTGCAGGAGGCAACCTATGGTACCAATCTTCGAACTTATGGAATTCCATTGCGGGCCGAGGATTTCAGGCTGTACCGCCGCCCGCATCCGACTTTGAGCACGTGTTCACAAACTGAAGGACAACAAATTTCAGTAGTTATTTTTATTTTTATTTTTTTTTAAAGAGAAAGTGACTGGCTTGCTCCATCCAATCAAATGACGTCCTTCTGATATTTGAAGTGGCGAGAATGCAGAGACTGTGCTTCAAGTCTAGTGCGCTGTATTTGGATCTTGTGAACAAGAAGCCAGGTCCATTTTTGGTTCCAGTCTAGCAATAATCTCACCCTAACTTGATGTTGACGACAGGTGAGTGCTGGGACTCGCATGAACATCGTATGCGTTTGAGGAATTCCTCGTATTAGATCAATCTCTACCTGAGTGCAGTCCACAAAGCCGCGTTTCAAGCTCGTTGCGAGTAGCCTACTGCAATTCCGAATCACGTGAATTTACATCTAGACTTACCATAGGACTGAGATGGATCGTCTTATAGTGCGTCTTGCATCTAGTTACTCCCGCTTATCACATGTTTCCACAACTGGATGTCAATGGTACACTTACTGATTTTAGTAGTGGGGTAGCATTGGTAGTCTTAGAATAATGATAGAATTCCAATCCGGCCATAATCGAGGTCACCTGTCTTGCGCACTTCAAATCACCATCTTCGCTTAGACACAGCTTCTCCTCTTTCTAGACTCGTGCCGGCGACCAATATGATCTCTCCGTTATTTATCATATGTGTCAACTCACCATTTTCAATTGAAATAGGCAAAAAGGGCTCTATCTCTATCTGCCACATGGACGATACCCCGCGCGTTTGGGTGGTCCTCGCAAATGATTTCCGGCGTCCGACCTGCTCCGACTTACCTCTATCGGATCTTTAGGCCTCTTATCAACACCCGGATGCTCGTGTCTGGCCCCCTCAGTCTAACAGTCACCACCCCCACCCCCATTCTCAACAGCATTATCAAGCAACTCACGAAAGCATCTTCCCCACCTCTGATAAATACGGATTAGACTCATTCTTGGCCTAAAGTCATACCTCCGAATCGCGGTCTTAAAGTAGCAAAGGCCATCTGACATGAAGGCGCGAGGGGAAACAGGATTAGAGATGCAGTACCCATAGTTTTCAGACTGTGATCCCAATCAAAGACTTCAGTGCAACAGTTCTTTGCGTTTTCTATACCAAGTACCCACAATTCATTGCGTTTTTTGCCCAACGACATGTTGCGTTTCCTTGGACTTTCTTCGGCAACTAGCGACGCCAAGCCAGAGCCTTCGCGAAGTCTTCCAGCTTCGTGGTACAGGTCCCCAGAATTGCACCAGCTCGAGAGAAGAGCAATCATATCGAGGAAGTGGATCCTGGTGACACATTCGCTACGCTTCAAGCAGGCGGGCGAATTCGTCTCCTTCGTCTACGCCGACTTTCCCTTCTTCCTCGTCCAAGATCGAGACGGCAACATCAACGGGTTTCACAATGTATGCCGCCACCGAGCATACCCTGTCGTCGAGAAGAAGTCTGGGAAGGCGAGCATTCTGAGCTGCAAGTACCACGGTTGGTCATACGGGTTCAAAGGTAACCTTGCCAAAGCGCCGAGATTCGATACGGTAACCGGCTTCGATAAGAGCCAAAATGGCCTTCTCCCGATCCACGTTCGCGTGGATACCGCTGGCTTCATCTGGGTTAACCTCCAAGCAGGCGAACCAGACGTCAAGTGGGAAGACGAGTTTGGCGGTGTCTATCAGAAGCCGCGAATGCAAAATTTTGACTTCGCGGGGGGCTACAAGTACGACCACGTCTGGGATATGGAGCTGGAGGCCAACTGGAAGGCCGTCATTGAGAATTACAACGAGTGCTACCATTGCCCAACATCACACCCCTTGATCGCGGGAGTGTCCGACTTGACGAAGTACCAAGTCAAGCCGAGTGGGGGTTGCCTGGAGCACGAGATCATCAATAAGAAAGCTCAAGATGAGGAAGACGAATTTCGACGTTCAATCACATTCTTTTACCCCTCAACTTCAGTCACTATCACGTAGGTCGCCTTGCAACGGAAATTTAGCTCCCGAGATTGCAAAAGAGCAGGAATTGACAAAGTCTGTAGTCAAAACTTCTTCTACATCCAGCGAATGATTCCGATCAGCGCGACCAAAACCCGAATTGAGAACGAGGTGTATCGCTCTCACGACTCCACTGATGCCGAGTTCGCCGCCATCAATGCGTTCTACAAGCAGGTGCTAGAGGAAGACCGAGACCTGTGCATTGGCGCACAGGAAAACCTCAGTGCTGGGGTGTTCATTAGCGGAGAGCTGCATCCAGAAAAAGAAAGGGTAAGGCAACGGATTCCTGATGCTTTCCCGGTACCACAAACAGATACTGACACATTCGCTCAGGGCCCAATTCATTTTCAAAATACGGTCCGAGAGGAGGTCATGAAGCATCGGCAAAGGGAACTGGAGCAAGGAGGCAGAGAAATCTGGCCAGCTACGCCGAACCTACTCGGGCAGATGGGCACGGGGAAATTGAACGAGGACGAAGCTTTCTGCTCGGAACTCGAGAAAGCTAACTGCGGTGGCCGAGAGGAACTAGCCTGGTGAGCCATAAGTTCTGCTGGTATATGTGATGGGCAATATCGGGACGGTCTGGCTGTACGGAATACGATGTATGATGGCATATGGAACTTTCAGCATTGATTTAGCTTCATGAGTTTCCTAACATCTAGCTCTCTATTCTTCCAAACGAAATTGAAATCTAGCTCTCTACGACAATGCTTCTTTCCTCTAGCTGGCTTGGTGATTTGCTTGTGATGCAGCGCTGATAATTGAGTTATGGCGGCGAGAGCATCGATGTTTGGGCAGCTCAATTAGTTAGGTCTTGTTGATGCCTCCAGCAAAGCACTACAACCCCTCATCCCTTGAAATGTCGATTGAGACTCAATCCTCAGCTTGGTGACTGGAGTTTCGTATGGGGTTCTGCTCTGAAGTTCACTCGCCACAGTGTTCTGGAAAGACTATTATCAAGAGTGGGGTCTGAGACCTGCACAGCATGGACAACTGCTGTTGCGATTCGTTGAACTTTGGGTGGTCGTACAGCTCGTCGGTCTACCAAATCATCTTTACGGCAATATACTTGCAAGGCCGAACCGCGTAGCGATCAACATGCTTCTACTATTACCTCCGATCCTGCAAAGGAACTCTTCGCATAAGTATGCATATGCAGAAGCACATGTTGGGGTCTTCGAAGGCGCTATCTTGGAGCAGATCTTATCTACCCGTAGCATGAGGGGAAAGTGGGTTTTCCAGCGGGGGAGTGATTGAGGCCGAGAACGGAACACCCCCCGCGAAAAGTAATCTATCGACCTTGGTGTGACCAACGCTTATCAGTGGGTAAAGTGGTAACAATCTTGGGCTGTCTAACTTACCCTCGGGCGATGCCGTGAGACGGTGCGACCACACCAGATGCTATCATTGCACCCCACTCTCCAGAAGTCCAGTCTGGGTGAGCACGAGGAGCCGAGACGCGAGGGGAGAGGGGTGGATTACCTTGAGGCCTTCATGAAATGAACGAGTAGGCTTCTTAGCGTCTCATGAACTTACTTCAACTATATCAGCAAAGATCTGTTGCAGCAAAATTGGGCAATGCTCACAGACATTTGATACCAGCATTCACAAGCTTGAGGTCCGCCAACATCATAGCATCAGATCAAGGCACTTTCAAAGACGATACCATATTCCGTCGGACGATTTTCTATCAGGGCAATATGGCAGCGCTCGAAATTCCAATCATTGACTTCTCTGGTGAGTCCGCAGAGAACTTCGTGCTGTAGCAGCCAAAAAGGGTTAGCCAAGTCCTAACAACGATATCCACTTTCAGGATTCTACTCCGAAGACCCTCTCCAGAAACAAAAGGTCGTGGACCAAGTGCGCGACAGCTGCCTCTACAATGGCTTCTTCCAGATAGTAGGACACTCGGTGCCTCTGGCGCAGCAAAAAGCTGCCATGGGCGGCGCTAAGAAGTTCTTCGCTTTGCCTCTCGAGGAAAAGCAAAAGGTCGCCAAGGAGAATACGACGTGGAACCGCGGTTACGAGATGCTCAGATCGCAGATTCTTGAGGAAGGAACTCAACCAGAACTCAAGGAAGGCTTCTACATCGGTGCCGAGATTCCTGAAGACCACCCTTACTTCATCAACAAGAAGCTCAACAGCGGGCCGAATCAATGGCCCGAGGGTCTGGGCAGTGACTTGCAGAGCTTCAGGAATTCTTCGATGGAGTACTACTCTTCGGCTCTCAAACTTGCTTCGGATCTTATGCGGGTCCTTGCACTATCATTGGACCTGGAGGAGACCTACTTTTCCAAGTTCATGGATGGAGCTGTGGCGACAATGAGACTTCTGCACTACCCGTCGCAACCCAAGGATGCGGACGAGAAGTTGACTCGTGGCATTGGTGCCCACACCGATTTTGGTGCCATTACCATGCTTCTTCAGGATGAGGTCGACGGCCTACAGGTATGGGACAAGAAGAACGAGACATGGATCGACGTAAGTGGATATCCCACACCCCCACTACAGAGCACCATTCTTGGTCGCCGCATATTCCATCGATACTAACCAGTCATTCTTAGGTTCCACCAACTGAAGGTGCTTTTGTTGTAAACTTGGGTAATCTTATGGCAAGATGGACCAATGAGTTGTACAAGAGCAACATTCACAGGGTCATCAATAAATCTGGCCAGGAGCGCTACTCCATCCCCGTCTTTGTATCTGGTAACCCGGACTACCTGGTTGAATGCATTCCTACTTGCAAGTCGGCGACGCAGCCAGCCAAGTTTGGACCGGTCACGGTTGAGCAAGCAGTATCTGCTTCGTATGCAGAGTCGTATGGAAGGGCACAACTGTACAAACAGGGTCTGGAGCAAGCCACAGCCAACAAGGTAAAGGCTCAGGAACCTCAACCAGCGCAGATTGCTGTTGCTTGAAGCATCACTAGCGGAGTAGAATGTAAACAAGTTTTTTAAAAAGGATATAGCAATGTGTAATTCTAAGAGATATGAAATTGCAATTATTGATGGCAATGCTAAGAATAACTAAAGAGAGAACATTATTTCCACGCCTGTTCCATGAGTCTACGATACACCAAGCCTCTTGGCTAGCCAGTGCGAAAATGTCACTGATTTCTGATCAACGAGCCGCCAGTGAAGGTCCCCGAGCACTATGATCGACAGCATGGCGATGACAAAAAGCGTGCTCCAGGAAACAATCAAGCTGTATCCGGCTGCCAGCATCTTAAGCTTCAGGCCATAACTAAGGAAATTCTTGCCACAGCCCCAATGAACCAAATAGAAACTGAAACTCACTTCTCCCAGATACAACACCGGCTTCGTATTGAGGACACGCTGTAAGACTGGTAGGTTCTCCAATACTAGTACCAGAGCTACAGCACATGTGCCTTGGAAGAATGGATGCACACCAAAGCCAAAGGTGTTGAAGCCAGCAAACCAAGAATAAATAGGGGCTTGGGTGGCGTCGCCGTGCATCGGCCAACAGCCCAAGAAGATGATAGGCACAAGCAGCAGCCATGATGTGACGGTCACGGCCGTACGCACCATTTTTGGTAACTCTGGCAGCTTTGCTCGGAAAAGTCGAAAGTCGGCAATGAACATGCCTGCGATAAACAGACAATTCGTTGCTCTCTGAAGGTTGAAGGAATAGATGAGGAGTAGGACGGTAGCTGGCAATCGCACCATGGGTGACATTCTGATGAAAGCCATACAAGCCAGGAACACAAGCAGCGATCCTTGATACTCGGCTGCCAAAGTCCAGCCCTGGGGCATGACAGTGTTGGCCGAACCGGAGGTGATGATGGTTATCAACGTGGTCCAAACATAGTATACATGGCTCCAGAAGCCCTCGGCGACAGGCCCCATAGGTTCGGTGCTATTGAGAGCGTAGAATGCGTTGAATGGAACCAACGCGGTAGAAACTGCGATGATAGGTATGGTTGGGAGGAAGAGTCGAAATGGACGCCGGAAAATGCTGGATGGAAAAGAGTTGATGGGGTTGGGCCCTTGTCCGCCTTGTACTCCTTGTGCTGCGTAAGACTTGCTGAGGGGCCCATATGTGAGAGCAAAGCCACTGATAACGAAGAAGACCGATACCATGAAAACTCCGCTGTGTAAGAGGCGAATGAACGGGAGCTGGACCACATAGACACTTTCTTCGCTATCGCCCCATGCGCGATGAATTAGCGGATACTATCAGAAACCATTGTTAGTCGAATTCATTACGATCAAAGCTCCATACCACTTGAGCTAGACCATTGCTGATTCTTGACACTGAAGAAGTCTGGACGACTGGAAAGAGCTGATTACTTACATCTCCATCAATCGTATGCTGAAGGGCGACGATAAGTGATGCGATGCCGCGAAGGCCATTCAAATACGATGTTTTGTTCGGAGCTGGGATAATCGAGTCCTCTGTAGCGTGGCCGAAAATGCGGGCGATGTACGATGGTACCAGCAGCCAGAAAAAGGCCTTTGGACTCATAGGGCGCCAAGTCGTCGAAAGTCTTGAGAAGGGCGATGATCTCCCCGATGATTCAGCCATCGGAAGGTCCGTCGATGAGCCCGCTTCATTGCCTTGAAGCAAGCCGTAGTGCGATTCCCCGGCCCGGACTCCGGAAAACCAATCCCGTACCCTTTCGAGTGGTTGCTTCAACATGGGATGGGCCGCTTCCGGATCCTCCAGCTTCATGTTCTCCATTTTCGCTATGTGAAAAGATGTATCGACAAAAGTGTAGACTAAATGGTCCTTCTTGCGGACAAGTTCCTGACTGTGTCCAAGGCAATAATCAAACGGGGGGAAAGTACTAAAGATAAAAGATCCAAACGGTGACGATAAGACTTGAAAGCGAGGCTTAAAGTATAAAGGTCACAAGAGTTTCCCAACATAGACACGGGGCGCAGGGTGCACTTTCTGCATGCCACGATGTTTCACTTGAAGCTTCCCCAAATGCTAGGGAGTTTTACTGCCCTGCGCCACTTGTCTGAGTTGGAAAACTGTCGAGGGCCTCACACCCAGAGTTTCTCAGCCGTTATACCTCTTTAGGTCATTTTCTCGTATCTACTTGTAGCTTTGTTGTCGCTCAAGGGAGAGGCTATCCTGGTCCGGTCATCAGCCCCCAACTGCTGGGGAATGCCCTCATTGAGACCTGACCTGATCAATTGAAAAGCATATAATAGAGATTCGCGCTTGTTAACTTTCGCATTCTCTGGATTTCCTCAACACGTTCGGACGGAATGTATGCTTTCCTTGGGCATGCCAAGACGGCGACTTTCCGAGGATGAGAAATGTGCGATTCCGGTGACTGAGACCACCCCCGCGGGTACCGCGGGCACCATGTACCCGGTCACCTTTCCGGCAACGGCAAATACAGACTTCCTATCAGTTGCCATTGGCCGATTAGGTTACACCGAAGTCGCGACAAAGCTGCCGACGGTCACACCAAACGTGGTGAATGTCCTAGTGTTGTTGTCGCGTCGTACACGTTACAGCCCTGATCGGAACGGAGAACGCAAAAGTCTTACATGTTTTCCATGTGTCTTATTGGATTGACAGCCATTGTTGCGGAAGAACTGATCGTTGTCGCGTTCTTCTACTGATTCTATTTGACAGCTTAACAGATGGAAGGGATATCCCTTCACGTTCTCAGTTGAGTTCTTGTCTGGTGCATTTTAGGCGCAACGGTAACAGCCCGTGCAAAACTTTCATACATCATACATCGATTAATGGCATTCATGTAGGATGTCAGGGAAATGGCATTCCGAGTACAAAGATAATACAAAGATAGCTTCCCAATGTTGTAGGAGTCTGAGAGGAACTGAAAGCAGATTGCACCTATTTATACTTGAACCAGGCCAGTGCACGCATCAGTGGTCAACTTTGATAACAACCTTCGAGAAGTGCTTCTTCTCCTTCAGTCGCGCATAAGCGGCCTTTGCCTCTGCGAGCTCAAAAACCTCGCCGTCGACGACGGGTTTGACATTCTTCTCTTCGATAAAACGAACCATATCTCGGAATTGTGCCCGACTTCCCAAGATCACACCCCTTACAATGCATGGACGCATGAGAGCACTCAGCATGGGTACAACCTCGGCCTTGCCTCCGACTAAGCCTGCAGAGACAACCATACCGTTTGTCTTCACCGCGCTGATCGATTGAGATAGTGAATCGTTGCCGGCAACGTCGACAACAATGTCGAACCCAGCTTGATTTGGAGTGAACTTCCTCGTCTTGACACCCCAGTCGTCGGGATTCTCTCGATAGCTGATCGTGTGGCTCGCGCCGAGTGCCTTCAGCCTCTCCTCCTTTTCAACGGACGAAGTCGTCGCGACAACGGTGGCCCCAGCAGCTACTGCCAGCTGGAGCGCGGCAATGCTCACGCCGCCGGTTCCTTGGACAAGGACCCACGCACCGGAACGGGGTTCTCTGCCTTTGAGGCCGAAGAGTGCGTTCCACGCTGTAAGACCGCTGCAAGTCAAAGTTGCAGCTTCCGTCCAGCCAAGAGATTTAGGGACCGGAACGAGCCCGCTTTCTATGAATATGCCTTCCGACTGTAGGGTTCCGTCGACAGTCTGACCCAGACCCTCTACAATGTCCTGATAGATCGGCAACTCATCATCACCACAACGCTCGGCATGTTTAGGTGCTAGGTGAGTGACGACATGGTCGCCGGTCTTGAAAGCCGTTATGGAACTACCAATCGCCTTGACAATGCCGGCACCATCAGAACCAGGCACGACGTGTTGTCGAATAACGCCGGCAGTTGCTGCTGTGCCCTTTACAACTGTTAGATTTTGGAAATCCAGTCTAGTGTAATTTAGTTACCTCCGTATCCGCGATCGCGAGTTCGCGATAGTTCAAGCTGGCACCGTGGAGCTCCACTAGAACCTCGTTAGGTGCCAAATTATCGTACCGCGGCACATTTTCCTCGTACTTGAGGCTTGTCTCAAAGCCGCTTTGGCCAGTCAAGATCCACCTGCGAGACATGGAGGGCGGGGAGACTTTGATAGTGGTGAAGCGGCGAGATATGGCTTCCGAACTGTGATTACTGGGCGAAAGTTGCGTATAGATGCCAAATCTTTGCTGTACAAGTAGCGATAGTGAGTGAGTTCTTGACTTGGCCGTCTTTGTGGCACTGAGCGGTTTTAACGGCTTCGCCAGCTGTGGGGGTCAACTCAGATAGGATCCAGCTTTTGCACATTTGCAACATCATGGTCCCATTTTCGCCCGCTTTTTCGTCCGGGTTTCGTCCGCTTTGATCCGTATGTCCGTGGCAAGGCCTAAAACCGGGGCCGGCTCCGCAACCCGGGGCTCGGACGGCTCGAGCCAACCCAGACAACTCGCCGGGGTTGGTTGGAATATTCGCTGTCTTACCTCTGGCCTCGCCGATATGGTCAAAACATCTTTAGCCTACACAGGGTACTCAGCACATAGGATCACCGGTTTAATGTGTAATTCTCGCGGTCAATTGCATCGGTATGGCTTCCGTCCCAAAATGCGATCAAGCCCCGATTTTGCGGCGGACTAGCAGAGACACATTGCTTTAGCGAGTGTGTATGGGTGTGGAGTTCATTTTCTGAACCCTTCTCGAGGCTCTTCGATACCTGATCTGCTTGATTGTCAAATGAAACTCGACCAGCCTTTGGCTATGCTCCCTTTCTCTAATGCACCTTGAAAATTGAAGGTGCTGCTTGTCGCAGAGCTTGATACCAAGTCATTTGGAATTTGTCCTGGTGATGTCGCTGTGACCAGCGCACACTACGACGAGTCCCACATTAGCTCAATGGCATGCCCGGGGACTTTGGAGTTGAACCACTCATCAACAATAATCCCATCCTTCATCAGCCCTGTTGGCTTAGACCCGTCCAGCACCCCAGACATTCCCAGAGCCCTGACTGCCCAGAAGAGCTCACTCGAAGCAAGGTTGCGAGCAATACACTGTCGCGGTCCAAGTCCAAAGGGAATTGCGTCGCGTAACATTTCCTCGCTAGGATCAAGCCATCGTTCTGGCTGGAATTCATGTGAGTTTGGGAAGACAGCGTCGTTGAAGTGCAAGCTAAACGGTGCACATCCGATCCAAGTTCCGCCTGGGAACTCAAATGTCGCAGTTTCTCCAGAAGGCATTTTAGTAGCGAATGAGAATCCGCTGGGCGGCACAACCCGTGGAAGACGAGTCGGGTTTGCCATGGACATTCGAAGACCCTCGCGCACCACACCACGCAGGTAGGGAAGAGTTTGCGGGTCGGCTTGAGCTGCCTCTGGTGATGCAAGCTCGTCTTTGAGCTTCTGATATGTCGAGGGCGACTGTGCCAAATGCCAGCAGATGGCACCAAAATTCATGCCCGTACTGTCTGTGCCGGCAAACATCAGATCCATACACTGCACAGCAGCTTCTTCTTTTCTGATGCCAGCTCGTAACAATCGAGCCTGATACGTTTGGTCTTTCTCACGATCTGCTTCGGCAACAACTTGATTGCAGAACTTTGTTACAAGTTCCATCGACTCGTCGACTTTCTGATCGGGGAATACCTTCGGCAGAACCCACTCGAGGGCGTGAAAGACCCAGTTGGGAAGCAAAAAGAATCGCCCAACTGCGACAAAGGTGTCCACAAACTCGCTGGCAGAGAGTTTGCTTGAGTCACTGGCGCTACTGCTTGCCTCAAGCTCCACAATACCTCCATATGATTTGCCCAGGAGATACTCCGTCACTGCATCAAGAGCTAGACACCTGCCCATATTGAGCATGTTAACGGGTTTGCCTGTAGCGGCTTCGTGCCCAATGTGCGCCATCAACCTGTCAACACAGGATCTCAGAATCTGGTCACCTTCCTTTCGGATAGAGGCCGGGCTGAACATGCTGACAACAGCCTTTGATCTGACGGCCCTGTGTGCAGGATCCAGAGCCGAAAATATCGTCGGGTGACCGTCAAAGTCGAAATTGCTGTAGCATGCTGTTTTCAGGAACCCGCCCTTCTCGGAGTAAATGGGTGCAAGAGCCGCGCCGTCGCTAATGTCAATGTCGTTGGGCCCGATCCGGACGACTGGGCCGTAGACTTTGTGCAGGGCTTCGACCGAGGTCGTCTCATCCCCTGCATATGAGTGGTACCATAGCCATAGCGGAGAGACTTTTGCTTTCCAAGGTCCCGGAACTTTTCGCAGTGGATGGAGGAAGATGTTGACGAAAAGGTAAATGGCAAGCGTAGCCAACGGGGCAACGAGGGAGAGTTTGAGCGATTCTTTGGCGAGAATGGCCAACAGGTCGGCGAAGAGACCCATTGTCTCAAAGTTGCGGTCAAGTCTAAGAAGCCGAATATTAATGAGAAATGGCGGCCTAAAGAAGGCTGAGAGATGAAGACGACAATTAATTGTAGACTAAGTACGATGATCCGTTGGATTGATGAGTCAGATACAAACGTCATGACAGTTGAAGAAACAATATGCAGGCGAACGGCACGTGACGCTACTAGAGATAAGCATGCAGCTGTAGTGATAAAACTGCATTACAGACGTCTTAAATAGGTAATGAATAATCAAACACTGCATCTGCCCTCAATTAAGTATCGTCAATGACTTCATTGTGAATTGGCATTTTGTGACTTTCAGGATAGTATCAGAAGGACCTAAACGATATGATACCACTTCCCGCCAATGCCACACCTTACGGAGAAAAGTATGTCTTAGGATTTAGATTCAGCCGCAGAAAATCTATCTACCATTTGGTCACACCGCCATCAACCAGGATATCGCTCCCCTGGCAGTATCTATCTGAATGTTAGCAATTTCAGTTGTACTTGAGAATTCATTAGAAATTCGACTCACTTGCTAGCATCGCTCGCCAAGAAAACACAGGCTCCCTTTATATCGTCCGGCTCCGCTACCCTGCCGTTCATAATCTCATCCTTCCATCCCTCAAGAAGATCAGGGAAGGGAGCCGTCATTTCTGTCCGCACATAGCCAGGCGAGATGGAGTTGACGCGGATTCCGTACTTGTTTAGCTCGGCAGCAATCGGAGCGACCATCGCTCGTACTGCTCCCTTTGTGCCACAATACGCAGTTGATCGTTGGGAGCGAATCGCCATGTACGATGCGATACTTGCAACAAAGATTATGCTTCCACACTTAGTGCCATTGGCAATCATTGCCTTGGCGGCCATCTTTGCTGAAAAGTAGAGGCCTTTGCAGTTCACGCCATAGAGCCTGTCAAAGTCTGCCTCCTCGGTATCCAGGAACTCAACGTTCTTGTTCACACCGGCGCAAGCGACAAAGATGTCGAGCTTGCCATCAAAATCGGCTGCCACAGCGGCAAAAGCCTTCTCTAAGCTGGAGATAGATGTTACGTCGACAACATATGCTTTTGCTTTGACCCCGTTCGCAGAAGACAGTTGCTCGAAAGCGGATGGCTCCGGGTCTATCAGATCAAAAATGGCAACGTCTGCCCCGGCCTCAGCAAGACCTTGTGCGAATGCCAAGCCACAACCTCGGCCACCGCCGGTGACTACGGCGACCCGGCCTTCGAGCGAAAACTTGACCCATCAATATTGGCTAACTCGAGATGATACTAGGATTCTGACATACCTTAGACATTTCGATGTTATCGGATGGCTTTACGGCTGACACAAGTTTCAATAAGCAAAGAAGACTGGGAGTCCGTACGGATGTCAATAATGTTTCCAAAGATGAGATATGGTCTCAGCGTGCGGGAGATGAGATTGCGTATGGGTATTCACAACTAAACTTGCAACGAGCTTGGAGTAGTCATGGCTTCAGTGCCGTTCTGGTGACACTATCAGCGAATTACTTAAGACGGCGGTTGTTCCCGTTCCACAACTGTCACTACACTGCTAATAGCTTGCCGAGTGTCCAACCCGATCGCGAATTCAACCCCCATTCTAGCGCCTAGCATCGGCGCAGGTACGTAGGTTGCGGCCAGACCCCATCCCACGCTCCAAAAGTTGATGCATTGAAACAATGCCAACGTTCACTCTCCATGCGCCAATCATGCTCTCAATCTCGAGGTCCGTTAGTCGCCTTTCTAGAGCACGCGGAGTTATCTGAAGCGGTTAGCCATCTCTTCCTTATCTTTGCTATGAGAGACGGAAAGTTGCTTGGATCTGAGGAATGGGAGCATTCAAAAGTGGAAAATGGGGAACACAAGGGTGGAGGTGGGGGCGGGGTCGATCAGTAGGACAACGATACTGCAGAAGTGGAATTACCAACAGCCATCGATGCCAAAGCAATGAAACCCGGGGAAAAGTCCAATTAGAGGATCGACTCGTGGACGTATCTGTACGTCTAGAAGGTGCAGTACATACATTGGACATCAAGAATGGGGAGATTTAGACCATGTCGCATCGATAAGCCTAAGCGCAGTTGAATCGACGGGGAACTGGCAAGTTATTGTGGAGACGTTTTCTGCCAGCGGGGAAGCTTCCACGAGCTTGGGCTTTGGTGCCTCCGACTTGGTCTGGATATCAAGGCAATGACAGGTGGTGCTTCATAGGATGTCTAGAGTGATACTGACTGAAGCAGCTCTCAGCATAAAGTCTACCTTCAAGCACAGAGTGTTTCGGTGATACACAGAGAGAAATTCACCACTCCCATTTATTCATTCATACATCAAGACAATCTCTGTTATCAGTAAGGTACTTCACAATGGGAAAGAAGAAGGTTCTCGTCTGGTAAGTGGCTCCTCGCACAAGACACGGTGGTGCTGTCATATATGCATGCGTGCTAAACTGGCCGTTACCGTAGCTATGGTGTGGATATCGACGCCGTTGCCGGCTGGCTCGGGTCATATGGTGGTGAAGACAGTACTAGTGACATCAGTCGAGGTTAGTTGTACTCGTGGAGGGTATTTGCTGTCTCACAACCCTGCGTAGCTTACATCGCTGACCTCATGGCGTATGAACAGGTCTATGGGCTGGAACCATTGGCACACGTCGACTCTTGAAGCTGTTTGAAAAGTACAACATCAAAGCGTCTTGGTTCATCCCCGGTCATTCCTTGGAAACGTTCCCAGAAGAATGCGCCATGGTGCGGGATGCAGGCCACGAGATCGGCCTGCACGGATACAGCCACGAGAACCCTGTCGACATGACGCTAGAGCAGCAGCGCGATGTCCTGGACAAGACGTGGAAGATGCTGACAGAGTTCTGCGGCAAGCCGCCCAAGGGCAGCGTAGCCCCATGGTGGGAGACGAGCGAAGAAGGTACTGAGCTGATGCTGAGCTACGGTATCGAGTATGATCACTCCATGTCGCACCACGACTGCCAAGCATATTGGTTGAGGACTGGTGACAGCTGGACCAAGATCGATTATACTAAAAAGGCAGAGGAATGGATGAAGCCTTTGGTAAAGGGCAAGGAGACGGGGTTGGTCGAGATTCCCGGATCTTGGTACATTGATGACCTGCCACCGATGATGTTTATGAAGAACTCTGCAAACTCACACGGTTGGGTGAACCCGAGGTAAGTCTTTGAGTTGAATTCATATGGATGATAAGGGCGCGGGCTGATTGTGTCTTTCAACAGGGATGTTGAAGACATCTGGCGAGACCACTTCGACTACTTTTACCGAGAATATGGTAAGTTGAGGGACCCTTTAGTCGACGAATAAGGCTCCGTGGACTAATCCATGCTCAAAGATGAGTTCATCTTTCCAATGACCATCCATCCCGATGTTTCGGGTCGGCCTCACGTGCTACTCATGCACGAGCGGATCATCGAGCACATCAACAAGCACGAAGGTGTTGAGTGGGTTACCATGGGAGAGGTAAGTCCCACCCCCACTCTTTATGGAATGTGAGGGTGTGCTGATGCTAATGTGTTGACAGATGAGTGACTATTTCAAGTCCAAGAACCCTGCGCCTGAGGGCGGTTTGATGCCTGCCAGCCAGGAAGAGGTTATGAAGAAGTACGAGGAATGGAAGAAGACACAATCATAGATATACGTAGCCTTATGAGCACCAGGTTTTCAATGATCAAACCATTACCAAACGGCTTCTTCAAAGATGATGCTTTATGTGACAAAATTCCTATTGACCTATGTTTGGAAGCATCGAGTCCACTTTTCTTGTGCCAGCGCACTAATTCGACCACTGATTGGATTCTTGACTCATCATATGACCTAGCTACCTAGTGGGCAGCTCTTCATGGCGCAGAAGAGACTCAGCTGAAGTTGTGAAGGCGCGTGATATGACGCCCACGTATGACCGATCGTTGCCCACGGTGATACCTCTTAGGTAAGGTACTTTAGGTAGGTACTTAGTATATGTAATCTGCATGAGTCTAGAACATGTTCACAGTGAGCTCTCAGTCAGTCTCTCCGTCGGGTGTGGGTCAACTCAAACAGGCAAGAGATTTCAAAGCACATCCATGGTTAAATATTCTACTTGAATGTCACACGAAGTCTAGCTCTCAACCTTGAGGATGTCATCAATGATCTTCCCGGCGGCAAGCACCATTTCCTCCTCCAGCTTGCGACCAACAATCTGAAGTCCCACAGGCAAAGCAAGAGATGCCATGGTCTCCTTGTTATCCTCCCACAACTTCCTATTCCACTCGTCCTCAACTCCCCTTACTTCCTCTGCCCACGGCTGATTGAGGTCTTCCTCACTCACTTGGCCTCCAGGAATGACCAAGGCAGGGTAATCGAGGAAATTCCAAACCTTGGTGTATCCCACCCATCTACAACCTCCATGCGGCACAGATGTATGAGGCATAGGTGGCAGCAGTAGGATATCAACCATGCGACCAGTCTTGGGCGAGCGGATGGATTGCCACTTTTCTAGGTATGCTTGCTGCAACTCCCATTTGCGTCTGTTTAGTTGCCAGTAGTCGTACACCGAAATTGGCTTTCCGCGGTTGAGTAGCTTCTCGACGTGAGGGATGAAGGGCTCTCCACCAGCCAAGACGTCTTTGCGAATATCTTCGCCGCCGTCAACCGTGTAGAAAAGGTCCTTGTAACGACGCTCAGTCACTTTCGCTCAAACACAGACTAAGGTTCACTAACCATTATTCTGATGCAGTCTTCGTGCAAGTTTGCATTCCATTCCAAGACCTCGTGGCCCGCTGCTTGCAGGCGCTCTACCGCAGAACGGAGAACCCGCGTCAATGGCGGGTGGGGCCGAACAACATTGTCATCGTAGAGGACCCCAATAGTCAAAGGCCCAGAAGACGTCTCCTGATACAATTCGTCTCTCCATGGAACCGGTGCACAGCGAGCGTCCAGCTCCCAGGGCTTAGCGTTGATTAGCTGCTCCATGGCGAGGCGGATTGTAGACAGGCTGCGAGCCATGGGTCCTATTGACGAAGGCACATGTTCCTGCCCTTCGGTTGATACTGGGACTCCGCGATAGGGTAGGCGTCCGCTCTGAATAGGATGTTAGTGATACTAATTACTCACTCATTTCTCGCGCGAAGACTGGAGACAAGCCAGTTCCGAGATTGCCATTGATGAAACTCACACTTGGCTTGAAGCCGTACGTTCCCATCATGTGGGACGGAATACGAATGCTCCCTCCAATATCAGTCCCCCAACCCAGCATAGTTGCATCGGAAGCAAGCAAGGCTGCCTCGCCGCCGGTTGATCCGCCCGGAGTATAATCCTTGCTCCCGGGGGTTGTGGTCAGGCCCCAAAGAGGGTTGTCGGTCTCACACCACTGTTATGATATAAGCTTCCTACATCTGACCAAAGCAGAGACAATCGCAGTCGCAGAGCCTAAAAGGGAGAGGAAATACACGTCCGATTACTTACCATGATACTCTGTGGCAGATTTGTTTTAGCAATGACGACAGCGCCCAGAGATTGAAGCATCTTTACGACAACTGCATCGTCTACAGCAGGTTTGAAGGACCGCCCAACGTAGCCCAGAGTTGTGTCATATCCTTTGACATTGAATTGGTCTTTGAGAGTGACTGGCACACCATGCAAGGGCCCAATGGTCTTTCCGTGCTCGGTGAAGTAGGCATCCAATTCCTTAGCCCGTTTGAGGGCATCATCAAACACGATTTCCGTCAAACTATATTAACGTGGAATAGATATTAGCAAAATGTTGAGCAGCAAGGCGTGTCTCATGTGTCAGAGCAAGAGTTCCGTCTAGGTTCAATGTTTCGAAACGTACCAGTTCGTCTTTCAAGACATGATTGAGTTAGCCAAGAGTTCGTTACTTTCTGATTAGGATCATACCTCGTTGTGCACCTCAGAAGCTCTGTTGATATTAAAGAATCATCAGTATCAATCTACGTGAGACACAGGGGAAAGAGAGAGGCTCTGCAGTTGCCAGCAGGTAATGATTGGTCATCCACATACTTCCGAATGTATGCCTTCACGATGTCTTCGCTCGTCACCTCACCACGCGAGATTTTTGAGACCAGTTGGGAGGCTTCGGCTATAGTCGTAATCTCAAGCTCTTTCGGACCACCTGTCGAGCCTCCAATGGATGCTGAGATAGCTTCAGCTTGGAGCTGCCTCTTCTTAGATACGACATCTTGCCAAGCTTGTGCCGGCTCATGGATCGTGATTTGCGTCATTGTTTGTGTCTCGTTTCAAACTTGTCAAACAACCTTTTGTCGCTTCGCAGTCTGTCTCTCAGTATCTTCAATTTCTGGCCGAGTCACACAATCACCGCAAATCTGTTGTCACGATAGTGCCAAACGCTAAACCGAAGCGGGCCCGGCTTGCCGACGATGTTCGGGATGCCGATCTTCGGAGCAGAAGCCACTTGATTGGCGGAATCGTCATCCGACTCCGCCATTGCTCGGGACGTCTCCATCGGTCACTTTGGCTTATCAGTGGAGCTTCGCACTTTGGATTGCCCGTGATTTCTTTGGCATGTTTCCCCGCGGATTCCTCCACCGACCCCGCGACTTGGCTTGTGCGGCGAACACACACGTTCGTAAGTGGGGGATCGAGAGGGGTTCCGATAGGGAACATGAGGCCAAAGTCAGGAGAGTGGGTGGCACTGAAGTCAATGGTGCGAGGCTTGTTCGTCTGTTAGCAGTTAGGAAAGGACCAGCTACTTCTGTCGTCAATGATGGGGCATGTTAATTTGCATCGACATCGGCTGAATATCGAACCATCCCGGATAATGAGACGATGCGATTTCTGAGAAGAGGACAAGGCGAAATTGAATACTTCTATACAGTACTACTCATTCCAAGCAGATTACTACGAAGGCAGTAGGATTGTCAAACACACTCCATCCACATCAACACGAGAAAACGTCCTGTTCATTAAAGATTTGCATAGACCCTTCCATTACACAACGACTTCGAGTCGAAAAGCACAGCAAACATGACAACAAGCTCATCAACTCCTGTAAGCTCACAGACCAACGGTTACACAAATGGTTCGCACCACAATGGACAGTCAACCAAATCCGATGTATGCGTCGTCGGAGCCGGGCCAGCCGGCTTAATGCTTGGGTTTGTGCCCCACTCTCTCCGATATCCGCCCCGCACACTCGGCCAGCTCCCCCGTGCTAACATGCCAACGCAGATCTCTCTTGGCAAGATTCGGCCAAAAGGTCCAAGTCATTGACGAAAGGCCAGATCAGACTACAGTAGGCCGCGCCGATGGGATTCAGCCAAAGTCGATTGAGACGCTGCAGATGCTGCGTCTCGGCGACGAGCTTTTCCGCACTGGTGTCAAAGTCCACGACATTTGCATGTGGCAGAGCTCGAGTGATTCTGACCTGCACCGGTTAAGTCGCTCGATTCATTACCCTCCGTCTGTCGTGGATCTTTTGCAACCGTACATCTTGCTGTGCCACCAAGGCATGATTGAAGGTGTCTTCATTGATGACCTCCGCAAGAGCGGCGTGGAAGTGAAGCGTAGCCACAGCTTCCAGACTTACAGCACCTTGGACGATGGCTCCCTGAGCATCGAATGTGACCGTCAAGGGGAAGGAAAGACATCAATCAACTCAGAGTTCCTGATAGGATGTGACGGCGCGCGGTCTCTCGTTCGAAAGAGCATCCCCGACACATTTGCCCAAGGTTCACCGCACGCTTCAGTATGGGGCGTCCTCGATGGCGAACTAGAGACGGACTTCCCTGACCTCTGGAGCAAAACAGTAGTCTTCTCTGAGAGGTACGGCTCCATCCTCATCATCCCCCGCGAGCGCAATATGACGCGCTTCTACATCGAGATGAAGGCCTCAACATCCTCAAAAGACCTGGGAGAAGAATACGTAATGGAGCAAGCCCGCCTCATTCTCTCACCTTACAGCGTCAAATGGCGCTCCGTGGAATGGTTCGGCAACTACCAAGTCGCCCAGCGCGTGGCTGCCCGCTTCTCCGACCCAGCCCAGCGCGCCTTCATCGCCGGCGACGCCAGTCACACGCACAGTCCCAAGGCGGCGCAGGGTATGAACACGAGCATCCACGACACCTGGAACCTCGGGTGGAAGCTAAACCTCGCGCTGCGCGGGCTCGCCAAGGGCGACGTGTTGCTTGCGACGTACGAGCAGGAGCGCAAGAAGATTGCGCACGATCTCATCAACTTTGACTTTGAGCACGCCAACGAGATTGCTCGTGGAGACGCGAAGCGACTAGCGCAGAACTTCAAGACGAACACGCGCTTTATTTCGGGCGTCGGGGTCGAGTATGGCGAGAACGAGCTCAACCGGGGTCGGGATGAATGCGTCAAAGGCTCTGCGAAGCCGGGATGCAATCTCCCGCCTGCAAAGGCTACCCGTTATATTGATGCTTGCCCTATCGATGTACAGCTTGATGTTCCGGTCCTGGGCCAGTTCCGTATCTACGCAGTCTTGAACGACGTCTCTAGCGCTGCGGGCGTCTCTTTTCTCCGTGACTTCAGCAGCGACGTAGCATCTGCGTCTTCATTGGTGTCGAGATTATCCGCCGCAGCGGCGCAGTCGTACAAGTCGAAGCCACGGGCCAGCCGGGTGGACGACATTCATATGCGCCCTGAGAGATACACATCCATCAGTCAATTGTGCACATTTGCGCTCATCAGTAAGTCGATCTCCCTTCATCTTATCCTGTCCTTTCACCAGTTCTCCACGTCGGAGGAGGCTCCGAGCCTTTTCCTTGGCCAATGAGAGAACTGCATGAGTCTGTGTGTGTGTCGTTGCTGACCCTTTGTTCCTAGCATCTACCGACAAGAACGATTTCGAAATCTCCTCGCTTCCTCCGATATTCTCACAGAGTGCCTGGACCGTTTATCTCGACGACGTAGCACCTTTGGATACCCAAGGACGCTCATGTACAGACAAGTGGCTTGGCGGTCTCGGAACGGACGAAGCTTCCCTCATCGTCGTCCGACCGGACGGCTACGTGGGTACCATCGGCCGCTGGCAGGCAAGCGAAAGCGGCACCGGTGGGATGGCGGCGCAATGGCTGGATGACTACTTTGGCGGTTTCTTACAAGCGCCTGACACGTATTAATTCGCGCTTCATGCGGTGCGACTCCAGAGCAGAGCGGTGTGGTCAAACGAGAAGCAGCGCGTATGTACATGTAGCATCAGTTGGTCCTACAGTGAGACCGGCCGATCTGAGTGAATTACTCCGTTGAAAGGACTGGGCGCACATGTGTGACGTATGTACTTTAAAATATCAGATTGATAGTGAGTTACATGGGAGTTAGGCGAGATAATGCCTTAGATCCTTGTAGACTGTTATGTTAGCTCAACAAGCACGAATCGTCTTTGCGGCTATTACTAGGAAGTACATGGTTGATTCTGGCCTCAAAATGAAATAGACGCAATTGACAAAGTCCCATGTTGTTTTCTCTTATGTCATTAGTCCCTCGAAGTTGCAGAGATTTCCTCTGCAGACATTTTAATATGGGTTTCTTTAGAATTGCGTGCCCGTCCCCGGGCCACAGCCAACCCGCATCTATGAAATCATCACTCGCACGCTATGCAGTGCGGGAGGGTTTGTCGAATCGTTTTTCCTTGTTTTCTGAACTCTAAACGCGGGCTTGACGCGGTGCGTGGTAGTCTTGATTGGCAGAGCGCTATGTCAGACATCCTAGCCTGAATGGAGTCAATGTCAGGTTTGGAACAGGCCGTGCATGCCAAAGTGGGGGTGGGGACCCGTAATCTCTGGGATAAATCCCTGGTAGAAGTCTCTCTCTCTCGTCCCTTAACGAAATAGACGAATAGAGCTCTTCGGATTGGGGCGATACACACACCGTCGGTGACGGGTGAAAGGGCAAAGATAGAGAGCCCACGCCCTTGCTGCACCTTTAGATAGATACCCATACTCCATACCGGCCGAGGACGAGTGATAGCACGGCAATCATCTCCATATCCCCATTTTGAGGCTGAGGTGAGAGACAGTTTCTCCCCGGTGGGAAATCAGGACCCTTGATTTGCTCTTCACCCCCAGAGAAAGATACCCCTGGCGCTACATGTACGGGGACACTCGTTATGCCAGCTGTGGAGTGTGAGCAAGTACAACGTGTTGGCTGATATCCATTCGACCTTGCGACCTTGGCTGCCGGTACCTTGCAAGACTGGCCCTCTCATGTCAGGTAGACAGCTCGTCCCTTGGTGTTCCTGGATTGAATAAAGCTGAGGGACTAGGCGCCCTACAAGGCTCGACTCACTTCAGGGTTTGAAAGAAGTCAGGTCCCAGGTTTTCTTCGTCTTTTGTTCGTGAAAGAAAAGGACTCAGGTTTCAAGTCGTTTGTCGTATTCCTTCTCTTTCTCTTGGTCTCTCCCCTTGCGATCGACCACATCGTTTCCATCATGTCTGCTCCGAGTGAGAAGAGTGTCACAAAGGATGCGACGGAGTCGGGTTTGAGGCAGACGGCCTCCGGCTCCGTCATCCAGGGAGACGCAAGTTCCGTCGGCGACTCAGTCCTCCGGGATTTCTACACGGGCGCTGTGAATGAGAACTACCGGCTCAAGTCGGAGCTTATCGCGAAGCACTTGGGCGAAATTGGTATGGGAAAGTACGTTCGAAAATCCTCCCCTTCGCTTCCAAGCCTCATACTACTGGCGCAAATTGGACAAAAGAACTGACCATCATTCTCCCTCTTCTCAGGTTCCAATGGATCCTCTTCGTCGTCAATGGCTTCGGCTGGATCGTCGACAACTTCTGGTCCCAGGGAATCACGGCAATCCGGCCCCCGATCGGCAACGAGTTCACCGACATTGCGAAATTGAGCTTCAGCTCCGTAGCGTATTACGTCGGACTGATCGTCGGCGCCTCCTTTTGGGGCACCACTGCCGATCTCATCGGTCGCAAACCCGCCTTCAACGCCACAATCCTCTACGGCGGCGTCTTTGCATGCGCCGTGGCCGGCGTCCAAAACTTTACGGGGTTTTGCGTTCTCTGGGCTATTATTGGCACGGCGGCGGGCGGTAACGTCCCCGTTGACAGCGTCGTGTTTCTGGAGTTTGTTCCTCAGACCCATCAGTGGCTGCTCGTCAGCTTGTCTGGATGGTGGAATTTGGGACAGGTTATTGTGTCGCTCCTGGCATGGGTCTTTTTGGCCAATTTTGCCTGCGACTCGACGGAGGCTCCCTGTCGTATGCAAGATAACATGGGCTGGCGCTACCTCATGATCACGCTCGGTGGTATCGCCATCGCCTTTGGTCTGATCCGCATCGTGGCCTTCAAGATCCCCGAATCACCCAAATTCCTCATCTCCAAGGGTCGCGATGCCGAGGCCGTTGATGCAGTGAATTATATCGCGCGCTACAACAAGCGACCGGAAACCCTTACCCTCGAAATGCTGCAAGCCATTGACAGGCAGTGCGCCGGTTTTCCAGAGTCAGACGCGGGTAGCATTGCCCCTGCCGCTGCGGCGGTCGACCCCGACATGGCGCCCCGAGGCTCGAAGCTATCCCACATGGAGATCCTCAAGGAAAGCTTCAGGGACTACAACGCCGACAACTACAAGAAATTGTTTGCCGGGCGCAAGATGGCGCAGCACACGTCCGTCACATTCCTCATCTGGCTGACCGTCGGTGTGGCGTACCCGCTCTATTTCGCCTTCATCCCGTCGTACCTCGCGACCAAGTCTACCTACTCTGCCAACACCTCGCTGAACCACACCTACATGATTTACTGCATCGTCTCCGCGGCCGGTGTTCTTGGACCGATCGCGGCTGGCTTCTGTGTTGAAACACGCTTTGGCCGCCGCTGGATGATGGCTGCATCTGCGGTCTTGACTGGAGTTTTCCTGTTCGCTTACACCGCCGTGGGCACGGAAGCGGCGGACATCGGGTTCCAATGCGCAACCGGAATTCTTGGAAACTTTGGTAAGCCGGTCCTCAAGTCATTTGCTGAGGCTATAAGTGCAATTTCTAACCAATATTTGCAGAGTACGCCGTCATGTATGCCTTCACGCCCGAGTCTTTCCCTGGCCCAGTTCGCGGAACAGGCACTGGCATTGCCGCCACTCTTCTTCGCGTCGGTGGCCTTGCGGCTTCGTTTGTGTCAACGTATGCGGGATACACTGTTGTGCCGATCTATGCTAGTGCTGCTTTGTGGATTGTGGTGGGCTTGTTTTGCATCGGATTGCCTTATGAGACTCATGGGCACGCTTCTCTCTAGATATTGCGTCCAAGTTGCAAATGTCGAACTTGGCCCCTGGCTAAAGGCCTTGATGCAAAGCTGCAAGATAATGAGAACCTCAATTTCCTCGCTGGATCCGTATTCAAAAGCGATGCAGTATGTGAATTTGCCTAGAACTCTGATGATGCTACGCCGATATGCCTAAGTGCTCATGCATTGCTTGAAGCCCAGGCGTCAGGGAACCTTTGGCTTGGGTCTAAGGTACACATTTCATGTAGGACCTTGGGAAGTTGAGATTTTACAACTACGATGTAGATTATACCTTGTTCCTGTATGCACACCGAGTTCTCAAAGTAATCTTGGTCTCTAAGAGTTGGAAGAGTTGATGGAATTGTGTCAGGCGAAAGCATAGTACATTTCTTGGGCGAGAACTCGCCACCTGGAAAACGGTCATCATGAAAGTTTAGACCGCCATGCCTGAATTGCTTATCAATATCAGCCCAGTAGTTGGTGTTCACTCATCAAAGTTGCTCTTCCTGAACCTAATTCATAGCAATCTGCTACCAAAGCGATGACTTGAAGATGTTTGTCATCGTCCCCCTTGTTCCTATGAGATATTGGCCCCACGACAGCTTTCCCCATGTCTATCTGCGAACATGTGGGGGTAAAGGTGCTGTCTCCCGAGTTCCCCGTGTCTAGACTGCACTAGACCATGGGTTGCCGAATGTAACACACTGGGGGGATAACACCACCAATGATTAGAAGTGGACTGATGGCTATGCTCTTTCAAATGCCATACAGATACGGATAGATACGGCAAGTTAATCTCACCGACTGGCCGCCAGTGTAAGTGCACCCCCACTTCCGAGATATCCATCTCATTCACCCCAACCCAACCCAATAAAGACTCCCCACTCTCCACTCTTGCACGGGAATGGGGGCATCTTGAGGTGCTCGCGACGATGCATTACCATGACGATCACGACTAATACGCCAGAATGTACTCTAGAGGTCACGGAATAGTTGCTTTGCAATTGTGGTTCCGGGCTTCAGATGACATGTTCAAAACCTGCCACATTCAACGACGCTGAATGTGCTTCTTAGTGCTCAACACACCTCAGCATACCCCCTTCCTATCAAGACCCCAATCCGATACTAGGTCTTGACCAATTTTCCTGAATAGCTTCACACCATGCCCAAAGCAACCACTCCTCCCCCGGCATTTGCCGCTCTCAAGGACACGGTGCTATTCACCCCCCTGAAGTTGGGTGGCATCAGCCTCAAGCACCGCATCGTGCAAGTAAGTTCAATAGGTTAACCAAAACATGACATGAAATCAGATGCTAACATACCTAATAGGCACCCACAACTCGCATGAGAAGTGAGTTCGAGTCTCGCGGCGTTCATGTCCCAGGCGTCCGTGTAGCAAAGTACTACGGCGAGCGAGCCAGTACCGGAGGTCTCCAAATCACCGAGGCCACCGACATTTGCCTCAACGCCAGCGCCTACCCCGGCGTCGCCGGCGTCTTCACCGACTCTCAGCTGCAAGGCTGGCGCAAGGTAACTGATGCTGTGCATGCCAAGGGCGGGTTCATCTTTGTTCAGCTCTGGCACACTGGTAGAGCCTCTTCCGCCGGAATGCGTGGAGGCGAAACGCCCATTTCCTCAGGGTCCCAGCCTATGGATGGGAACTACCTTGATGGTAACGCGTGTAAGGATGGTCCTCCCAGGCCCATGACTGTGGAGGAAATCCATGACCTGACTGCGGAGTGGGCTGCGGCTTCGAAGCGCGCGGTCGAGGTTGCTGGATTTGATGGCGTAGAAATTCATGGTAAGATGGACCTTGCGCGCTTCGAGACTCAAGAAGATTGAAGTAAGCTAATATGAGAACAGGGGCTAATGGTTACCTCCTTGAGCAATTCCTCCACGATAACATCAACACTCGCACAGATGAGTACGGTGGATCGATAGAGAACCGCTCAAGATTCCTTTTCGAAGTCTTGTCGGCCGTCAGTGCCGCCATTGGTCCCGAGAAGGTCGGTGTCCGCCTTTCGCCGTACAACTACTTCCAAGGCACAAGGGACAGCAACCCCAACAAGCACTGGTCATTCATTAGTCAAAAGATTGCAGAGATGCCAGAGACTGAGAAACCCGCTTATGTACACATGTAAGACTATCTGTCTTTTAGTAACTCCTTCAAACGCGAACTACTGCTAATCTCCTGATCTAGGATCGAGCCTCGCTTTGATGAAGTCCTCGATGAGGAACAGAAGCTTGCCTCGTTGTCTGGAACAAAGCCCGAGGCGACACAAACGAACAACTTGACACAGTTCAGGGACATTCTCAAGCCTGCGGGTATCCATTTCTTTGCCGCTGGCAACTTCAACCGCGACAATGCTGTTACGAAGTTGAAGAGCGGCGAGGCAGATGCGATTGTGTTTGGCAGGTATTTCATTGCGAACCCTGACCTCGTGGAGCGGTTGAAGAACGGGTGGGAGTTGAACCCGTATGACAGGACGACTTTCTACGGAGCGGAGCCTCCGGAAAAGGGATACAATGACTATGAGTTTTACAAGGTTGATAACGCAGAGGTTACAGCGAGTGCTTAGATCTATTAGAACCTACCTTATACTTACTTACTCAAAGAACGTTGTTCGCGGCTGCATATGCGATCTGAATATCAGCATTAAAACAAATGAGAAAGGTGCCTTGACTTTGGAATGGGACGAGAGACCCGAGGAGCATTAGGATTAGGTTTGTGGAATATGGAAGCAGTCAACAGTCATGCCACCTGGTTTTAGATTGGTTGTTCTAGGCTATATCTTTTCTGTCAACTTTGTTGAGTAAATTGATCATTCACAGCACCAATGCCCGTGTCAAGAGCTTGCAACGAAGAGAGGCAACCCGGTTTTAGATTGAGAAATCATTAATTTGCAATTATCATCAATATTTACTACCGTTACTAATTATAGACTAGGTATGTAATGCATTCTTCATTCCGCCTCATTATTCTTTAAGTCGTATCGGTCTGTGATCAATCTATGCATCGCCACACCAGACCTGTCAAAGTTTTCAATGGTCTCATAAGCATTGGAATTGTCAAAAGTGAACCGACATTCGACAAGTGTAAAGTACACTCATCAAAATGCCTAATACTTTAGATCTTTCCAGCGTCCTGGACAGTAAGGGTGTATCCGTAGCTGGAGGAGACGGAGTAGTAGTCGCTGCCTCTCCACTGTCCGACGTTAGTGCTGTAGGACTTGTCCCAAGACTGGGTGTACAGGGAGCAGTAGGTTCCCTGGGGAACATTGTTCTTGCTGAGGACGTAGGCGTTGAAGAAGTTGCAGGCATCGTAGGTGCCGTCGGCTCTGGGGTGGTCGTGGTCGTACTTGGTGTTGGCCTTGCAGGCGGCGGCGCACTGCTCGGGGTTGTAGATACCGGGGTAGTACTTGGATCCCATGTACGACTTCGGGGCCTGGGTGGCGCCGCCGAAGGCAACGGGGCCGGTGAAGTCAGCGTAAGAAGGAGGAGGCGCATCCTTTGAGTACCCTTTTTGGAGTCAGTTAGTCATCTTAATTGTTGGCATCGGGGACGTTAGAAGTGCATACCGTTCGATCCGGTTACACCGACGTGGAACTGGTTTCTCCACTGTCCAACGTTGGTGGCGGTCTGCGCGGTGACGGGAGAACCCCAGAGGGTACACTTGTAGTTGGTGATGCTATCAGGGTTGGGGCACGCATCGGTGGGGTCCCACTTGGGGTCTCTCTCCATGTAGACGTTGATGCCGTAGCACGAAGGAGCGGCATCGCAGTACTATTCACTGTTAGATGTTGTTTCCATCGAATTGTGGTTGGGTAAAGTTATCCTTACCTGCTGGCACTTGATGGTGTCAAAGGTCTTCATGGTGTAGAGACCCATGTAGGAAGTGCATTCCGTTGCGCCCTGCTTGTTGGAGAACGACAGACTGTAGCCAGCCGGCACCTGGGCGTTGGTGGCAATGGTAGAGAACTGGGGGTCGTTCATGAAGGTGTCGTACGTGTCAGGGCTGGACACGGGTCCATAGCCATCGGGCTGCTTGGCTCCGCAGCCGGCGGGGGTAACCGTACGGGCAGTAAGGGTGGAGTTGGAGACGGCAATGGGGTTCGCCGCGGCATCCTTTGAGGCTTCAGCCTTAGCAACCGCCGGGTCGTAGGTGGGAGTCTCGACGGTGGCTCCGACGGCGGGGCCAACCTTGGTAGGAGCAGGCTCAGCCTGTATTGGGGGTCAGCTTGAAGCGAGAAAAGAAGCTTTACCGGCAGTGTGGACTCACGTCGAAAGCACTCAGATCAATACCGTTCTGGGCCGTAGTGTCACGGGGAGCGACGGGGCCGGCGGCAGCAAGGCCAGAGATGGCGGCGACGAGGATAGCGGAACGCATCTTGAAGTTGTGGCAGGTATCTAGAGCACGTGGCGAGACTGTAGAGAGTATTGATGACCCGGTTGAGGAAGCTGAGGATGTTCGGGAGCTTCTGAGATGATGAGGATGGAGGAGAAGATCTGAATCGGGAGATGGTGAGGAAGATCGCAGACTTATGTATTCGGGATGCTTCAGCTCACGATTCAGCAAAATGTCAACAAGCGGCCGCCGTGAATCTGCCTCGTGGGCAAGCCTCCACGTGGGCGTGCCCATGGTTCTGGACTCCTTGTCGACTACTCCATGCCAGAATGCTGGACCAAGCCCTGATTAGGCGAGCTGTCGTTCAGCTTTCTCGTACCATCGTGAGTGCCACGCGCATGTTGATTTTCCTTAGTTTCCTCTGGGACAGGACTGCCAGGCACCGTGCGCCGACCTATGTTAGTTGGTTTCAGGCGCCGGCTCGCTAGGCGGCGCGCTTACCAGCCCTCCGGATTTCGTACCCCTTTTCCTCTTAGCTTCCTCCTTAGTCGACCTTATTTTGGTACGCGGCTCTTCCATTCTGGTGGTGTTGAAGTCCTCGAGGGCTCCTAGGATATTACCCCTCAGACATGGACATGGGATGGGAAACGCGGCCTGGGAACGGTAAGACGGGGTCGGTGTTGCTTAATCTCTCCCAATTCAAGACATCTTAAGCCATTATTGGACGAAATACGGCATCTTTCTCCACTGTGCTAGAGCCAATATAACGCTCAGCTGCTTCAGCTGGCCCAGCTGGCTGGGTTGAGTTGTTTGTATCCTTGGTAACGAACCACATCCCCGGGACTGCCATTACCTGGACGCCTTCACGCAGGGCGACACCGTTTTGACGTTCTCGCAAGTTTGCTGGTGATCAATGTGGTTAATAACATTGCCAAAAACTGTCTAGCTTCCTTGACCCCCCCGGCCGGAGGTTTTCCATCTTGGTTAAAGCTTAGCCGCCAAGCTATCGAACCAAAAACAAAGGAGCAGGGGAAACGGTAAGGCAGGCTCTGCGACTATTGTTTACTATTCCTCGTTTTGCATAATTAGGATCGCAGCTAATCTACAAGGGCTCGATCCAGCCGGGAATTAACAGGCCACAACGGCTTAAGGCTCTCGTATTGTTCACAGTTTGTACTTTCTTTATTACAGGTCAATAAACTTATGCTCTACAAACTTGCGCGAGGGGTTGGGTTTCCTCCTTTTGCCGATGTGCCGGCCGAGTCGGAAGGCCATTTCGACTCGATGTCCTTCCACATGTCGTATGTCAACAACCACCTCCCTACGCCGTGATACCTCCACGGAAAGGGGTCATCTCCTGTCTTCTGGGATGCAGGCAACACAGCTGAATCCTCGCCCAGCCACTTCGCGTCCATTTCCTCAAACTCTGTGAACTTCGCGTCTCGCTCAACCTGCTCTGGCCCGTCGTGGAGGTGATAGATCCACTGGTTGTACGTTCCGCGGCGGACGACCCTTTCCGTCCGCTCCCGTCGGCAGTCCTCGTAGACCTTTAGGGCCTGTCGCTTTGATGCGGCTGAAGTGTCGGTCAGTCGCGCAAGGCAGAGACCCAGGACCCCTCCGTCCTCAAGCGCCATGCCTGCCCCGCTGGCCAGGTAAGGCAGCGTCGCGTGCACGGCGTCCCCGAGCATCGTGAAGGCGCCAGACGGATGGGACCACGTTGGTTCAAGGCCTGGCCGGATGCACAGTCTCCATTTGAGGACCTCGTCGCACATCTGGAGCATCTTGCCGATGCGGGGATCCCAGCCTGCAAAGTGGCCCCGCATCTCCTCAATGTTTCCCTGCAGGGTGTTGCCGCCGTCGACGGGCATGTCGTCCGGCACCAGCAACACCATGTTGAAGAGCTGACCGCCCTTGAGAACATAGTTCACCGCGTGCTTATCCGGTCCAACCCAGTAGTTGACTTGCGGGTTCTCCACAAAGTGCCTCAATTCGGGGTCCTTGAGCATGTCGGCCGTATTCAAAAGCAGTCGATAAGCCAGGTCCCCTGTCAGCTGAGGTGGATCAGGCTTGCATAGGAACTCCTCTCTCAGCTTGGAGTTGATGCCGTCCGCGCCAACGAGAAGGTCGCACGTCAGGCTGCGTCCGCCAACGAGGTAAACCGTGGCCGTCGTGTCGTCCGGCGAGATTGTAAAAGTGTCGACCTTTGCATTCGTCTCGAGCTTCGCGCCGAGCTCTACTGCGCGCTCAAGGAGGCACCGATGCAGGTCGGAACGATGAAAGTCCCAGAAGGGGAAATCTCCCGCCGCCGCCGCATACTTGTGATAATCCATTTCGGAGAGAAAGTTGCCTTTCCAGCCGATGAAGTTACATTTCTGAGGCTTTGTGGCGTACTTCTCCAGCTTCTCCTCCAAGCCCCAGGAGAATAGGACACGCGCGGCGTTCGGGAGGACTTGAATGCCCGCACCGACCTCGCCGATATTTGAGGCGGCTTCTAGAACCGTGACATCGTGTCCAGCCAGCAGCGTCGAGATGGCGGCGCCCAGGCCACCTAGACCCGCTCCCACGATTATCACCTAGCATGAGAGAATTAGTTCGGCGATTTCTATCAAGCGTGATAAATGGAATACTCACGTGAAGCTTACTACTCGCATCGCGCTGTTGCTTTTCTTGAATCAAATAGCTCCTCGACGTTGAAGGCGACATGATGCTGGCGAATGGTAGCACGGCTCCAGTCTACTCTCGAGGGCGCGAATCTTATGCTGTTCTATGTTGTTATGACAAAGATCACTAATTGTCTAGTGCATATTCTCATAGGTCTTATGCAACTTCCTGTCATCTGATGTTGGCTATACTAGGTGATGATGGTGTTGGTGCACTGTCAAATTTGTATACAATAATCCAGCTGTATGGCTGCTAGATACTATCTAAGCTCTTACAAATGCATGCTACAGCGTTCTCGAAGAGTGGAATGGCCGCATCATCCATTCACTCTGTCTAGAAACGTATTTGACGGCCATTCCCGGCTTTACTTGATGCAGTGCACTCAACGTGATCGTCGTAATTGATGCCTCTCCTCTCCGGGTATGCAACTCCGCGAACATCAATTGTCCTACGTAAACTTCGATTCGTATCTACATGTGTCGCATATCTGAAGTAGCTAGATAAGATACGCCCGCAGTCGTAGCATAATACCAACACGCCGAAGTCGCCTGTACCCCACTCTTATCTCTTTGGCCTTATGTTGGTGTCGTCGGATATGAATTGCGAGGGTAGAGAGGATGCTTATCAGGAGTGGCGGAAGTCTTCGAGAGTGGGGGAGGGGCCGCACCGAGACCTAGTGCCGGGATGTTGTGCGATCAACAAATCGGAGATTTATCATACTTCCTAGTATGGACATTCTACTCGGCTTAGGAAGCCGGGTATCGTTACTCTTCAGAGCCGGAGGAAATGCGGAGAAGTGGGACGGCACATTCGGATGCTATGTCCATCCCCATTCCCCCATCTATGAGCTCCTATCGAGGCAAGCGAGACACCTGAACCGTAGTTTCACTCTGCCAACTCTGCCAGTCATTCCAAGTCTGTCCCTAAGGGTTGAGTTATCGAGATTTTGTTTCCTTCGTTCGCCAGGGGTCGACTGACATAGGCCTTTTTCTCGGAAGTGGATTGGTGTAATTTGCGACTCGGCGGTGAAACTATGAACGACTCCTACGCCATGGCTGGTGCTGGTGAGAACCATCGTCGCTCAGAGAGCTCAGAAGGCTTGATGGGCGAAGACAAGACCTTTTCTTGCACGCACCCGGGATGCAACAGACGCTTCACTCGGGCTGAGCATATGCAACGTCATGCTCTCAACCACATGCCTGGCGGGTTGAGCTGCGATTTATGCAATGCTCACTTCAAGCGACCTGATCTGTTGAGTAAGTAGATTCAAAGACGAAACAAAGAAGAAATATGTCGGCGACTATTACCGTTTGTAATTCAATCTCGAGTCTTCGAAAATGAATAGCTCACTGACTTCTTATTCATTTACAATCAGAGCGGCATATGGACCGTCACCGCCAGAAAGATCTCGAAGCAGGGGGACCAGGCTGCGGCGTTCTAGACACACGAAAGCGATCTTGGAAGGCCCCGGACGGGTCTGTTGTAGAAAAGCGGCCCTGCCCGAATCCGTCTGGACGGGGCCGGACATCGGGGGGAAAAGACCGTCATCAAACTCAACAAGTTCCTTCACCTGACCCGGAACCCCATGACGGAGATCACAGTCTGTCCGGCTTAGACATTGGGACAGATCAAGATTACTCCATTGACAGCATATCGCCAGAGTTTCGTAGACGCTCGACCTTGGATCTACGGCCAGGAAGCCAAAGTGACGCTCAACAGTATCCCTTTGGTCGTGGAGACGTTTTCAATCCAACCGAACCTGCCACGAACTTTTCGGGATTCCCTCCTTCTTTACAATTTCCCGATTTCATAGGATCGGAGAGCCACTTCGACCTCAACACAACCGAGCCCAGTAGCTGGGGTGAGACATCGTTCATGAGCGAACAGTTAGACTACGATCAAATCTTCCAACCCGACACTGCCAGCTCCTTTAATATGCCATATACGACTGCGTTGGATTACAACTGGCTATTCAACATGCAAGATACCTCAGCGCCTACCGCAGCGTCAAGGCCTTCAAATCTTGGCCAAGACTTTGAAACTCACATGGCAAATAACCAGTCCCAAACTAAATCGCAAGCAAACATCGCAATCACACCAGAGTCGATGAAGAGCGCGCAGCTGTGGACGGAGCCCATGGAGGTGAACACCAAAGATCAGGAGAGACAGAGATCCTCCCATCCGCCCAGTAACCCCCCAACAACCGCCAATGAAGCCGCCAGACGGCAAGCGATGAGAAACTCCAGAGAGAGAAGCTCAGACGTCGCACAATCTCGAAGGCCTGCCGATGCGCCGACAGCAGCTCGACAGCGTTACCCTGCAGTCAGCCGGCCAACACCGACTGAACCAGAGAGACCACTGTCTTCCTTGCGAAAGCCGCTCACAATCCCTCCTTTCAGCGAAGATGTGAGAGAGAGGCTGCTAAACGTCATTGACGGCGCCAAGCCGAATCTCCCTGATCAACGCGTCACAGTATGGGAGCACCCGCTACTATCAGCGGAATCACTGAAGTCCTACCTGGAGCTATTCTTCACTCGCTTTAACACCGCATACCCCCTTATTCACCTAGAAACCTTTGACTGCAGGAACACCGAACCTTTGCTCCTGCTTTCCATCCTCCTTTTAGGTGCAACGTACTCGAGCAAAGACTGTCATCAACTTGCTGTTTGCATCCACGATGTTATCCGGCCGAGTATCTTTGCTCATGCCGGGTTCTCACCTCGGCCAGAGCTCTGGACATTGCAGACAATTCTGTTAGTTGAGTGCTTTGGCAAGTCGCGGGCCGGTCAGAAGCAACACGACATGAGCCATCTGTTCCATGGACTCTTGATCAATCTCATTCGCCGTTCCGATTGCCAGACTGTGCGACCTCCGGGTCCACCGCCAGTCTCGGGCGAAGATAACGCTGGCGTATTGGATCAAGCGTGGAAGAAGTGGGCCGATGCCGAGCAGAAGAAGAGGTATGTCTTGACTCTGCGATCTACCTTATTCTAGTCAACGGAAGGACTAACAGAACCCTAGATTGGCGTTGCTCTGCTTCATGTGGGATACCCAGCACGCAGTTCTCTTCTGCCAAAGTCTCTGCATGTCAGCCTTTGAGCTTCGACTGGAACTACCGTGCAGCCAGAGCATTTGGGAAGCTCGGGATGCCGCATCATGGGCGTCGGCGTGGCGCTCAAGTCTTAGTGACCAGAGGCTGTTTTACTTGCCCACTCTCAAGTCCTATCTGACACCGTCAGCCCCGCGACCAGCTGGCCTTACTGGGTTTTCTAGGATCCTAGTTCTCCATGGCCTGATGTCCATCTCCTGGGATATGGGTCGACGCGATCAAACGGCTCTCGGTGTCGTCTCAGGAGATAGCTTCGGGATGGGTTGGCGGAAATTGCTGAGCACCGCCTACGACGCATGGAAATGTGACTTTGATGCCTTCTGTATCAGTTTTGCGTCCCAATTGCAACGAGGACCTGCCCCCCAGGCTCCGGGAAATCAACGACAGGAGAGCGAAGAAGATTTGACTCGGAGAGTGGAGTTCGAGTCGTTTGCGGCAGCATACAAGGCTCTCTATCATTCAGCACAAGCTCTACTCAACATGGACTTCTTGGATGTCCAGATATATGCTGGTGCTCGTCACATCCTCGGTAGACCAGTACAGCAGCGCGACTATCACAGATCCGCACAGGTTGTGAAGAAATGGGCTGCATCAGGCTGCGATACACAACAGCAGCAGCAGCAGCAGCAACAGAACCACCCGCTCATCCCAAGACAAGATCGAGGTGGGGTTACCGACGCCAACGCCGATCAATCCAAGCAATCCGCGTCCGAAGCAGCGTGGCACGCGGCGAGAATGCTAGTCGAAACCAAGAGAACGCTGAACAGCATGGAAGCCATGAACCTCTTCCACGTGCCATGGTGTCTGTACCTGGCGACACTCACCTGCTGGGTATATCACCATGCTCGTCCTAGTCGATCGTACGGGGCATCCTCGCGACGGGCGTTTGTCGCGTTTGACGATGAGGATGACTTTGAGGACGACGAGATGATTTGGGACCCGCAGGGTGAGATGGAGGCTCTTGTTGCAAGCATGTCGGAGCGCGCGGTACGGGGCGAGGTTGCTCTGCGGAGAGAGCGGAAGAGGACGAATGGCCTGGTGTGGATCATGGCGGATGTTTTGACGACGGTGAGATGGGGGATTGTGCACGCTGGCGTTGTGGTTTTGCGGGGTCTGGTGCCTCAACGCTTGATTAACCAGTATGAAGAGGTTATTTAGGTCTTGATGAGCTTTGAATCTCTGATATTTGATTTCATGTTCTAGCGTGTGCATACTGCATTCTGCAAAGTCAGCTCAAGCGGGGATGTGTTCGGCCGAAGCTTGGCTGACAACGTTGAGATGCCCACGCGAGAGTTCAAGCGGTGTGCGTTGGACCCCGACGAAGCGGAGGCATCAACATCCCATTTGCGTCCCTAGAATCCCAGAAACCAGGACCATCCGTGTCAAGAACCTGGTTCCCGGTATTTTGAGGAAGGCCATAGCGTTGGCGCTGGGCTGGGACTGCCCTGACTTGGAATCTCGGCGCCGAGGTCTTCAAACCTTGACTTAGATCATACTATGAAGGTCTGGGCATTGCATTTCCCTGGCCCAGGGTTTGAAGGCTTATAAGAAAACCCTTTCTGAATGCTGCTGACGATTATCCTTGGGTACTCGGTGAGCGTTGGAATGCATTTACTTGACGGCATCGAATTCCAAAACCCGTACAAGAGCATACTTACGGCTACCACTTGACCTAGGCGGATCCATAGACACCATGACGACCATCAACTATTATGAGCGTATGACGGAGGTCTACCAATTAGACAATACTCCAATTCTGATCGCTTCTGCCGTCAGCTTCATCATCGGCTACCTCCAGTATACCTACGTCGTCCGGCTCACCCTACGTGAAGGAAAGGGCCCGATGCCCTTCTGGATGCATTCATTCTACCTCGCCCACGACTCAACATGGTCCTACATCCTCGGCAAGGCCGCTCCACAGTACGGAGAACACTGGTACCTAAGAGGCACATCAATAGCGCTCTTCCTATGGACGATGCTTGAAGTTTGGACTATCCATCGATCTATCACCAAAGAGCGTGAGGCCAGCTTTGGAAATGTCCTCGGGAAGCAGCCATCGATGTCTGCAGCTATCACATACGCTTTGGCGCTGCAAATGGGCATGTACTCGATCGTGCTTCTGGCCATTGAGTTCATGGGTGAGGGATCCGTCATGCAATGGTTCTGCTTCACCAACGTCCTTATCGTTCTTGGACCTACTCATCACTACCTACGGGCGGGCTCCCGACATGGACTGTCTCTCGGCTTCTGCGTCGTGAACATCATCGGCACCATCTGGACCTTTGCACCTTTCGGGTTCTTTGTGCTCACTATTCCGGAAATCTTCGATCAACAGTTGTACTATGTCATTGGAGTTATTCTCACAGTGTATTCCGTCGGGTGCTTCTATGTCGTATCTCAGTATCCGAGCAAGACTAGAGTCATGGATAAGGGTGGGAAGCAGCCAATCTGGTAGGGGGAGTTGATGGACGTCGTTAGCAGCAGGCATTCCCTCTGTGCGGCCATCCTCAAATTTTAAGCTCTAGTGAATGTAGATGGTGAATCGGTAGAATGCAACCATTCGAGTATCAGTTCCAAGACATTAAGAGTTTATCAAATAAATGGTTCAAAATGAATGACTTAAGCGCAACTTTCATGCTCGATGAGATGAGATGTTGATGTGAGTGAGCGAGAGAACGAGTGAAGCAGGCCATTCGTGAGACTAACCAGAACTGAGCTTATGTCAGCTCCGAGGACCCTGATGACGCAGCTCCGACCAGGAGGGCCTCGTGGAGGGGCCGTCAATCTGAACACCTCCCAATTTCCACCCCCGCATTGTTAGCTCTCCCAAAGCGTTGGCGCATGCAACCACCCGATCTTCCACCATCCCACGCATCGCGTCTGTCGTTCCAATCCCATACGGAAGCCCTCGATCCTTGCGGGATCGAGGCAGCCAGCCTCTTTCGCTCCAATGCCGCCCGTCCCGCGCCAGCCTCTTCCGCGGGTAATCACCTACTACCAAACACACCACACGCCCGACGGCAAGCCCATCTCGATCCTCCCACTCCTTACTCAAGGAGGGATCAGCGTCACCCACGTGATTCTCGCGGCGATACACATTAACGATGATCCCCACGGCCTCACCTTGAATGACCATACCCCCGATAACCCGCGATTCCTTACACTATGGGCCGAACTACGGGTATTGCAGGCCAGCGGCGTCAAGGTGCTTGGTATGCTGGGTGGTGCTGCCAAGGGCTCCTACGAGAGGCTGGATGGGGACGAGGAGAAGTTTGAAAAATACTACATACCCTTGCGCGACATGCTTCGGACACGAGGGCTGGACGGTATCGATCTCGACGTTGAAGAGGAGATGAGCCTGGGTGGTATCATACGGCTCATTGACCGCGTGCGGCAAGACTTTGGCAAGGACTTCATTATCTCTATGGCTCCTGTGGCTGCTGCACTACTCAACTCCGAAAACAACCTGAGTGGCTTCGACTATGAGGCTCTAGAAGTCATGCGAGGGAAGGAAATTGCCTGGTACAATGCTCAGTTCTACTGCGGATGGGGCGACGTCAGCAACCCGATCATGTACGAGATGATCCTCGCAAAGGGCTGGGCACCGGAGAAGGTCGTCATGGGTTTGGTCACGAATCCCGAGAACGGCGGCGGATGGGTCCCGTGGGAGATGCTCGGCGCTGTACTTCTGACGCTCCGAAACCGTTATGCGCGGTTCGGAGGAGTCATGGGATGGGAGTACTTCAATAGCTTGCCATCTGGCCGAGAGAAGCCCTGGGAATGGGCAAAGTGGATGACAACGATGTTGCGCGCAGACCATACCCATCATTCACCCGGCCCGGTCCAAGGCTCAGCCCCTGTGGACTCTACCCAGCCTGTTGCTCAGGAAGTCAAGAAGCACTTGGTGGATGAAGTTGATCCGGACGGCCCCAACAGCAAAGACGCACCACTGCCCACGGCTTTTGAGTACTATTCGGATGGCAACGTGGATGATGATTGAGATACCTCGGGTGTTCCTAGAAGCCAACTACATCTCTTCACGCCAGTGTTGTACAGCCAGTGTTGTCTTTGAGAAGAGAGGAGATGCACATGACGAGACCAAAGATTAGCGACGCGCAGCTACGACCGCACAAGTCGATGATAGAATAGAAACGTCGACGTCCAAGTGGGATAGAGGAGGCGATACGAGACCAGCATTGCTTTTGTTCATGGTCATACCCAAACTGTTCAATAACGATCGTCTTGATCCAAGAGATGGTCGGACATCGGGACAATGCTGTCGGGGTACATGAAGGCCATGCAGGTCTTCTTCCGGGTAAATAAGCTCTGATCTGGCTTGGCAATCTGCGACTCTTGAATCCAGATAGACAATGATTCGTTCGCTTGCACAACTGCACAGGATCACTCCAAGACCACGCGATGCCTTCTTGCTTCGTTCAACCCCGCAACCCCGCGCCAAGATTGTCAAGCTGCAAACAATCACTCTGGCAACAAATGAAGTCGCCTTGTTCCCACGGGAATGCTTACCCTTCCCAGCTCGCCTCATGAGGTGTGCCGCCATGGACGTCATTAGGCTCGCCATGCTTCCTTCACGTTCAGCTGCCCGAGAATGTCATCGTAGGCACGAGTGTCACCAAATGGAATTTGTCACGGCATAGTATTCCGGCCATCACGCGATGCTGTGTAACACAGTCCATGTCTACTTATACATCCAAACTGCATGGCTAGAGCAAAGCAACTGCCTTCGTTCTAGCAAAACCTCTCATCTGCGGATGCTTTTTATCTGCTTCAAACAGGACTTGCCGATTATCCATTATGAAGGTGCACAATCCTGTGTCGTGGGTATGTTTGGTGGCATGCGCTAGCCTCATCACGGCTCTACTTGAAGAGTCTTTCATCGCGTTTGAAGCCTCGGAGGGATCTATCGAGCTCCAGGGAGCGACTTTAATCCACGACACAGACGACCCTGTGGGTATCAGCATTGCAGTGAATAGTTTGGCCGGCGACTTTGAGCAAATCACAGGGAAAAAGCCATCCGTTCACTTGTGGACAGCCACAGAAAGCAATGACCAAACTAGGGCACTCAAAGCAGCAAATTCCACAATCATCACTGACGTTGCAATCATTGCTGCTACTGCCGAATCAGCTCTTATTCAGGAGCTTGTCGCCAGCGGGAAGATAGAAATAGAGGACCTTCGCGGGAAGTGGGAGACATTCCGAACCCAGGTGGTTGAAAGCCCTCTGCCAGGGATTTCTCGCGCTCTAATCATCGTTGGAAGCGACAAGCGTGGTGTAATCTTTGGCATATATACGCTTTCTGAGCAAAGTGGACAGTCGCCGTAAGTCTCCGCCTTTCTATTCTGCGGTCTACGGTGACCCAAGGACTCGACGTCTGGAATGATGAGGGTCCCTACAGCACGGCTGCAAGATTTGTAAAGGTATTATGGATTTGTCCGGAGAGTCCGTCGAGCTGATTGCATCGTTGCTAGTCTCCATTGGTGGGCAGATGTGCCGACGACCAAGCACGCCCAAGTCTACGCTCTTAACAAGATCACAACTCATGGCGAGCCCAGCGTGAGATACAGAGGTCTCTTCATCAATGACGAAGCTCCCGCACTCGTCGGCTGGTGGGGGAGGAAGAAGAACAACGTGGGCAACTTTACCCTTGACTCCGAGTTGTATCAGCACGTCTTTGATCTGCTTCTTCGACTCAAGGCCAACTTCATCTGGCCTGCAATGTGGGCGAGTTACATCCCTAAGCCTGGAAGGATTTTCTTTACCGACGACCCGCGGAATCAGCAGTTGGCGGATGACTACGGCATTGCCGTATCTACTAGTCACCATGAGCCCATGCAGCGAGCGAGCAACGAGTGGAAGAAGGATCCAAAGGGCGACTGGGACTGGGTGAACAACAAAGAGAACGTGGTCGCCTTCATGGATGAGGGAATTCGTCGAGCGAGCAACAATGAGTCCTACATTACATTGGGCATGCGAGGAACTGACGATGGTCCCATCGATGCCGAGGACCCGATTGCGGTCCTCGAGGATGTCTTTGCCACAGAACGAGAAATCTTGGCAAAGTATCACGGCAACGAGACGACGACAAATCGTGAGTAGAAAAAACCTCCCACCAGCAATTGCCGCTGTTACACATCTTAGACTGTTGACTGACTTTGACCGTTTCTCAAGAGGTATGGACTATTTACAAAGAAGTTGCCACATACTATGCGGCTGGCCTGAATCCTCCTGAAGACGTGACCTTGATGTTTACCGACGACAATTGGGGAAACATTCAACGACTCCCGACCGAGTCAGAAAGTGGGAGGTCCGGAGGCATTGGCGTAAGTCGTCGCTCAACTTTTACACGAGTCGGATCCTGACATTGTCTTGGTTCAGGTCTACTTTCACTTCCAGTATGTTGGCAAACCAAAGAGCTGGAAGTCTCAGAACACGAACAATTTTGTAAGTGCGCTCTTAGATTAGAATTAGTACCGTGAGAGTAACAAAGAATTCTAACTCGCCTTCAGCCCAAAGTCTACAAAGAGCTGTCTCAGGCCTACGAGCGCGGCGCCCGGCAAATCTGGGTCATGAACGTAGGCGACATCAAACCCAACGAGTTACCGCTTTCTTTTGCTATGGACATGGCATGGAACGCGAGCAAGTTTGACTTCGACAAAATCCCCTCCTACCTGACGGCACTTGCATCTCGAGACTTTGGTCCGGAGCACGCCGAAGAGATCTCTTCCGCGCTCATGACGTACAGCCACCTAGTCGGAATGCGCAAGTTCGAGATCCTACAACCCACGACATACTCTATCATCAACTACCGCGAGGCCGAACGTGTTCTAGAGGCCTGGAAGCAGCTGGCAGACACAGCTCAGGCTCTTCACGAAGCTGTGCCGGAGGATCGTCGCATTGCGTTGTTCCATATCTTGACATATCCCGCCTTGATCGGATATCATTACCATTCTATCGTTATCAACTCAGGAAGGAATAGGCAATACAGCTACGAGAGGCGAAACTCCGCAAACTTGATTGCCGAACAGGTTCTCCAACATTTTGACGAGGACTTTGACCTCACTGAAGAATACGATACCATGCTAGACGGCAAGTGGAAAGGCCTGCTCACTACACCGAAATACGACATGGACCTCACGGACTGGCGGCCCTCGTCCAGCGACGTGGTCGCCAACCTTTCATATGTTCAGCAGCGGCAAGCATTCGACTGGGGCGTCGGCGAACTCGGCATCTACGTTGAGAACTCCCTCAGCGCATACCGACAAGGGCGAATCTGTGGCTCCATCCATCCAGCATTACCAACCGACGAGGGCTTTTCTCTGGTCTTGCCGGCCATGGAACCTCACGGTCCAAAGTCCCGACTCATCGAGCTGTTCCATCGTGGCGATCACCGAAAGCCCATCCACTGGACGCTGGAAGTCCCTTACCCATGGGTTCTTGTGACCGCCACTACCGGCATTTTGTCCAAGGACAAGCCCGAGGAAAAGATCGAAGTCGCGATTAGTTGGGATTCGGTACCTGAGGGCCTCAACGAGACCGTTTCAGTTCGCGTGGAGTGGGATCCGGCTCCTTACTTTGACCTGATCCACATCCCTGTCCTGAACCGTCGTGCCCCTGGGGGGTTCATCGGCTTCCCTGAGACAGCCGGCCTCATCTCCATTGAAGGGCCTCACTACCAACGTGCATCTGCCGAGTCTGAGAGTGATACAGCGGTGGCATTCACGCTTATTGAGCACCTTGGCTCCCGCTCCGAATCAGGATCCATCGCTCTGAGACCATTTACTGCTGCTAGACGGTCCAGCGAAGCAGCTCGTGCCGCATGGGTAGAGTACGACGTCTACATCTTCTCCAACATCTCAAAGTCAATCAACGCCACGGTCAACATCAACGGTGCACTCGACACAGACCCAGACCTTCCGATGGAGTTCTCCCTCACACTAGTAGACGACGGTAGTGAGAGTGGTGGCGCTGCGAACTTTACACGCGTGCTTGGCGACCCTGCTACGCCGGGTGATACGCCTCCAGAGTGGAACGACAATGTGGCGGATCATGTGTGGACAAAGGTTGTGCAGCTGCCGCGGATGAGCGTGGGGAAGCACACTCTTCGTTGGCAGGTTAATTCACCAGAGGTCTATCTTGAAAAGATCTTGTTGGCGGTGAACGGGACCGTCGCGGGGAGTTATCTTGGGCCGCCGGAGACGGGAGTAGGACTCTGAGGTGGTCGGCCTCAATTACATGTGAATCCAGTACGCGTCGTGGAATGCTGGGTGAGCTAGAGGCGCGGGTTCAGTTGAGATCACGGAGTGCCGAACGCGGGAAGTGGTGCGAAGATGAAGACGCGCTCAGGTATCCCATTCGCGCTAGCCACGAGCCGTCCCGTAATACCAAGGGAGAAATGCACCTGTTCTTGGCAGAAATTCTCGCCGTGTTCAACCGGCATTGTTGTCTCAGATTGCTTCAGCCCTGAGGCCTGTCTTTCTTTGATTCACCTGTGGTATTTTACTGGCTCTTGAAAACAAAACTTGAATAAGACTCCAAAAGAGTTCTTGTTTTTCACAAAGGTCATTGACCATACATCAAGTTTATCTTCACGTGTAAATCACCTTCGATACTCAAAAACCGCACCGCGTTCGGCTGGACTGGCTTGACTGTGAACGGAATCTGCATGAGAATTAGACCTACACTCCAGCCTCAGCTGCAATGGCTCCTCTTCGTACGCGAGATAGGTTCACGCAGCAGCTTGGAAGCCTGTACCTCCTCTCTCATACATGTATCTACTCGACACCCAACTCTGCCCTGACAATATATAGCCCATTATATTACACTTGATCATCGCCAGGAATCTACTCTTCAAAGTTCAACATGTCACCAAATTCGCCCTCAAGTACAAACTCGTCAAATCTTTGGCGATCTTTCGTCCAAGGGACGGCAGACGTCAAGACTCACCACACAGTAGCGACAAATGAACCCAAAGACATCCTTCTCTCCGCCAACTACATCGAGGAAGTAGACAAACTCCAGGTTTCTCGCGAGACTCTCGTACCCGATAAAGGCCAGAAATCCACCCCCAAGCGCATCATCATCTGCTGCGACGGCACATGGCAATCGTCCGTCAGCGGCCAACAGAATATCCCGTCCAATGTGACCCGCCTAGCCCGCTCCGTCGCGCTTACGGGATCGATCAAACAGGATGGAAAAGAGGATGGTATCTGCCAGCAGGTCGTCTTCTACAGCGCCGGCGTCGGTACGGGCGGCGGCGTGAATATTCTCGAGAGAGGCAGGCAGGCTACCTTTGGCGACGGTCTTGTGGCCAGCGTTATCGAGGCATACAACTTCATTGTCATGAACTATGCACCGCACGACCAAATCTTTTTCTTTGGGTTCTCCCGAGGGGCGTACACGGCTCGCTCGGTTGCGGGTCTCATCACCGACATTGGAATCATCCAGCCCCAGGAGATGGACGATTTCCACATTTTATACGATCTCTACCGCAGACACGGCCATAATGATAGCTTCAACTTCCGTCAATCGAAGGAATATCGTGAGTGGATCACCGGTGTTCGCGCAAAGAGGCTCGAAGATTGGCAGGGTCACGAGCAAGAAGACCACCACTGGGACCAAAAACCGCATAATCTTCCTCCAGAGTTTACGAGAGCCATTGAGGTTGTCGGGGTATTTGATACAGTTGGTAGTTTGGGCATTCCCGGCTTGACCTGGACGCAGGGTGCGACTACCAAGATTGCTAGACTAGCCCCTTGGCTTGGCGTTGATGACCTTGGATTTCACAATCCTTCCCTAAGTAGATGTAGGTCTAGCACAACCTAACCAGCCTAAAAGCCCGAGCACCTCTGACAATCTGCAGATATCAAGCATGCTTACCATGCACTAGCCCTCGACGAGCATCGGCCGCCATTCACGCCCACCTTATGGCGTCTCCCGCTCAAGAAGGAGCAATGCCCTAACTGCCACGGACAGCCAAAAGACCAGCTTGCCAAGAAGTTCAGGTCCCTTTTGAAAGCGAACTCGAAGGCCACAGAAGAGGAGCTCTCCGAAGCATGGAAGGCCTTGATCGAGCGTGAGATGGCGGACCAGCTGAATGGCGATCAACCTGAGCTGCGGCAGGTTTGGTTCCCTGGCGGCCACATCAATATCGGAGGCGGCAATCCAGGACTTCTCTACGGGTTCCCCTTTGATTTCGAGCGTGGGTTATCAGAAAATCGTTGACCTGGTAAAGCAAGCAAGCTAACTGTGTCACAGAAATTGCTCTTATCTCCTTTACGTGGATGTGCGACCAGATCAAGAGCTTCATCCAGCTTGACGACGAGCACGGATACAGGAATGGGAAGTATACAATGTCAACACTCGCCGACCGGGAAATTTCATCCCGAAACCGGCTCATCCACAGCTCGCGCCATCAGCAACCATTCGGTGTGAGCTGGGTGGTGCAGCGCGTGCGCCAAGGCCTGGACTACAGCAAGATTTACGAGATGTTTCTCAAGGCCCCTTCGTACGACCCGGCAGACGCCTGGGCTACCGGGCCAATCGTCGACATTTTCGCGCCCATCATGAGAGCTGTTCCGTTCTTGTCGAAGTTTAGAACTCCTGGGGAGTATAAGAAAGATGATGTGGGCAATGATCTCGGCCAGACAAACGAAGAGATTCACCCGTCTGTCAACTACCGCGTGGCGAATCATGCCACATACAACCCCAGATCCCTGGAGGGGTTCATCAGGTCGAAGAAGGTAGCGAGCAAAGGGAAGAAGCATGAATTCTTGTATGAGTGGAAGAAGGGTGAAGTGGTCGTGCCGGAGTATGTGATCAAGCCGGCTGACCTGATTGCCCGCCGCCTGGCCGAGTTTTCGACTGGGGGCAATAAGTTTGTTGACGCTCTCGTGAAAAGGGCCGAGGTTATGCTGCAACATAGTTGAGGATTATTTGGTCGTTCAAAAGGCTAAATACATGAAGACTCAGACTGTAATCTGCGTTCGGCTTCTTTACGCTCTTGTGTTCATCCAGTGGACGTCTCATCGTCATTTCATTGTGTTGGTGTTCTTTTTGTTGAAAGGCAGAAGCCAGCGAACAGTTGGTACATGTCCAAGGGGCAAAAAAGAAAAAAAAGGAAAAAAAGAAAACAATTAGAAAAAAATGAAGGAATTGAATCCTCACCGTATTGAAACAGTCAGGAAGCTCACCCAGGATATTCACTCTTCACGAGGTTCTAAGCGCTGGCGTCCCAATTGAAAGCTGATGGCCCGGTTGCCCGAGAGTGGGGCTGGGATCGGTGTCCCGTCGGGGCCCGGTGGCCGATGTAATGTGGGGCTATTGAATCCACCAACGGGAGTCCGCACGGCAAAGGACTCCACACACATAACACGGAAGGAGAGCATCACCTCCCAGTTGTTCCTTCCATCCCCCATTGGGAAAACCTTCTCGCAAAAGAATTTTCTCTGTTTGATGTCCAAAATCTGCCTCTCACGCACTGTTCGAGTAAAGTAGACAAAGGAGTATAGAACCGCAGCCCGGAAAGAAGCCGCGCCCTGGGCCGTTCTCTCCCGGCATCCTCTGCCGATTTCAGAATGACTGAGAGCCTCAGAGCCATTGCAAAAGAAGTTTTATGTACTTTGGCATGGATAACAGAGCATGAGGCAGAGATTTTGCGCTGGAGAGACCTAGATATAGAGAGGGGTGGAAAAAGGTCAAGAACAGTCCGACTCGAGCTCGCGACCTCTCGCCAACTAAGTCACGTTGGTGGCCAAGTACCGGTACCTGTCCATAGTGTGAAGCGAGTGGGATGACATCGAATCTCACCAAGATTAATATGAGAGAAAATGCCAAAAAAAACAAGCTGCCTGTGGCATTATGTAGGGTCACCAATTTTCGATTAGCCGAACCAGGCTTACAACTCCACCACTAGACCATATCCACTTCAGACGGTGCTTGTTGAAGACCCTGCCTACTCTTTTTCCTATATACCATCCGCCTCTGCACTTGATCATTCTCGGGTTGCCCGCAGCGATGCTAGTCGAACTTTATCTTGCGCCTTCGTACCTTACTCCGATGGATCATCTTTTCAACCTCTCCTTCCTTGCCTTTCCTTGGCGATTTTACCATCCTTGATGATCAATTTCCTCGCTCCCTCGTCGAAAATCGCAGCCTAGGTCTCGCCTGCATTTTCTTACAAGATATCATAGGAGGTAGGCCACATCTTCCGATGCTTTTTATCATCTCACACCCTCAATCAACTGCATATTGATCTTTCATTTACATCAGCCTACCTCGACCCCGTCTCATTCTGTCTTCACCATGTCGACCTCTTCGGATCCCCAATACCATCGCATGCATGGAGATGGATGAGCTGTCTGTTCCGGAGAATAAATCGTCTGAAGCAGCAGAGGACAAGATTGCCTTCGAGGGCATGAGCGGCAGAAAGATGCATAACTTTCGTCGGAAGCAGCAATGGGTAGCCGAGAACGACCTCCGCCGAGCCAATAAAAATCGAGAGAGGAAGCGCCAGCTCTCAGGTCGTGATTGATATGGAATGAGCCTTCATTGATCTCGTTGAACATCTCATCTCTGACAAGAATGATTCTGTAGTTCAAGCTCAACTTCCATCCAGCGTTCAGCCGGAAGTTCGTCCGTTCCTTAAGACCACCAAGGCTATGGTTCTACTCACCGGTACGATCAAGCAGGCTTTCTCCGTCGGTTTCAAGTTTACGGAAGAAGACTTCCTTCCCAACGACAAGGCAGAAAGTCTTGTCGAAGCTCTCTGTCTTCAGGGCACCCATAGCCTCGACAGCATCCGGATCCAGGCCTTTGTCACTCGACTCTTCAGATCAGCCAGGAGCCATCGTTCCGGCTACATCCTCAACGACGACGTCCACGAGGTGAAGAACCAAGGATTCTATCAGACCGTTGCGGATGAGATCAAGGCCAAAGGAATTGTCGGCGGCGGTCTTACCCCATCTTCCCACAATATCGATGTCTCTCCCAAGGCCTGCCAGGCTATGCACGAGCTCTTCGTCAACGGCCGCAAGGCTTACCTTCGCGATTTGGTTGAGAGCGATGAGATGAAGGAGGGAGCATATACCAAGAAGATGAAGGAGCTCATCGAAGCCGTCGATTACTGGATGAGATACCTCGACAAGTACCAGGAGAAACGCCAGGGTGGTGTTGGGGAGGACAATGAGATGTTCACTGTCTTCAACGACGTGGCTCTCTGATAGTACAATATTCACGATAGACTACAATGACGGAAATGACGATAATCGAAGGAGTTTGACCTTGGTAGATGCAATGAGCGTAGCAAGCACTATTAGTATGCGATGGAATATCCCCCCATACTGCCAGCCTTCCACTGCAAAGATGGCTTTCCTCAAGCCAGACCCCGTTCAACCAACATTCGGATTGAACGAGTTGCCAAAGCCAGATCGGCTGGTGTGGTGTGGTGTGGTTTTATAGAGAGCCGGGCCACCAAAATATACATGAGGCCGTTGGGTGACAAAAAAAATGGTGTTCCGAAGGGTCTTGAAGGTGCTGATTGTAGCCCATCGTCGATTGTTATCTCACTGTCAAATGAGCCATCGTATCACCGCAGCCATGTGTACTCGGATATTCCACAGGGCTAGCTTGAAGTTGCTTTCAGCATCTCAGTCTGAGGAACTCTAATTGGAGTCCATTGCTTTCGCAATTTATGTATTGATTGAGACTAAACGCAATGAATTACAACCCCGCTGGCAGTGCGAGCAAAGACGGATTTGAATCAACCTACAATAGCAAACCAACAATTTCTTCCTGTCGCTTACCGGTGGCATTTGATCATAGTCGAAGCCGCGATATACTGGTCATTTCAATCTCTGCCTTGTTAGATCCCGTTTCATTACGAGCTGTGGACTTCACCTTAGTTTGTGGTGGCTATCTCCTCCGCCTCATGACAGTGTGGCTGGACCAGGAGAGTATTCACTGCGTATTCATCTTACCACTCTCCGGTAATGAATTGATATCAACCCAACCTCTCCTTCCCTTTTCGATTGCTTCCTCAAGAGTAAGGCCTCGAACAAGAAGCGACGGCACAACTTCACATTCACTGCCCGCTATCAGATTTCTTACGGAGATTCTTCCGACTCGCCAGACCAATTGCCTGAAAACTCTTCTTCTCTTTCTCTTCTCTTCTCTTTTTCTCCAGCTTCCATCACCATCTCAATCGCCAATCCCTTCGCCTTCACCCTCGACCTCCCTTTTTTTTCTCCCCTTATCGAGCTATTTTACGCCAAACCACTATTTACTAGATACCCTGAGCCGGCCTCAATCTCATTCTTCTCTTCGACAATTCGGTCAGGTACCTTTTGCTCCTCACTGTCCTCAGCCGTCCGCCTCATCAGCTTCCCGGCCGTTTACGCCCTTCAATCGCACCTTGTGAGTCAACCCCATCGGAGTTAGGAACGAGCAAGCCTAACATGCTCCCAGTATCCCATTTAACCTCGTCCAAGAGTCTGGTAACTTTTGGATCTCCACGGCCGGACCGTCAAACTCTCTCAACTTTCATGACTTTCAGTGCCGGGACTCTTCTCCTCAAAGCCGTCGACACAACCTTTCTGGCCTCATAAGTTGCTATAAGAAGACGCTTCTTCTCCCCAAAAGTTCGTCACTCCTGCTCTGACATCCATCACTCTTCTCAAGACTAAATCTTTCTACTCTCCAGAGCTCAGGATTCGGATCGCGACCAATCATCTAAACATACTCATCCTCTTCTATCTACACATACTCATTCGCCTCAAATCAAGATGCCTTTCCTCAAGCCCGCCCCTCGCTCCGCCAATATTCGGATTGAGCGAGTCGTCAAGGCCAAGGTCAACGTCCTGAAGCCCGTTTCATCCGGAGTGAAGAAGGCCAGCTATGTCACCAAGTCGTCTCCTTCTGCTGCCGACAAGGGAAAGTCCTCGCCCAAGACTTCCGCCAAGGTCACCAAGAAGACCTCGGACGAGACCAAGGCCACGTCAACCGAGCCCAAGACGCCCAAGCCCAAGACCAAGACCAAGGGCACGAAGACAACCGACAAGGCCTCTGCTGATCCGGCCCGTATTCCCAGCAGTACGAAGACCGGCAACCGGGTCAGCAAGCCCAAGCGGACCAAGAAGAGCAAGGAACTTCCCAAGGGCCTAGTCGCAATCGGCTCCTTTGGCTCCGCGGCGGCAACCCACCGAGCCCAGCTGGGGGCGGGCAAGTCCAACGTCCGCCTCCTGCCCACGGCGCTCCCTCTTCCTCTTCCTCTTCCTTCCAAGGAGAAAGAGGAAGGAAAGGCTAGAGAGGGAGGCGCCAAGGGCAGCGCGGAGCCGAAAAAGACGGAGAAGAAAAAGGTCACCATTGCTGCGGTTGGCCTTACCACGCCCTCCCCCACGCCCAGCCGTGGCTCAAGCCAGAGCAGGAAGCAGTAATCGTGGGAATTGGGACCCCGGCCCGGGCATCAAATGCCAAAAGGTGTCGAGATTGGTCAGGAATGAAGGGCAACTAGGTACTATCAGGAGTTCTGTGGCGTTTTGTTAACAAGGCATGGCTGGGTCCATCGCTTCACTGAATTGATTACTGTTTTCGCGCGCAATAACTTTACTGACTCTGTGCTTCCTGTGATTCATCTTCCATATCACTCATGTCTCGTGGAAATAGTGACTTCAATCGTTTGATTCATTTCGAATAACTATGGTGATATTGGTTGTTGACCAGAAACACATCAAGGCTTGCCCCTCGCTCAAAGGTATCATCCTCATAACATGTCCGTCCCATGCTCAAACGCCGTAAAAGTGCCCTGTCCCAAGTCCTCTCGTCCTTTTTCCTCATCCCATATCTTACGTAGTAATACAGTTCAGGTCACTCATGTGATTTAGACCTCCATTTCACCTTCTTCAATCATCCTTCCTAGAATCAGGCTCTGTATGACAAGCTCATTGCTCAAAGTCCTGATTCTCTTCGGCGGCCGGGGAGCGTCATCTGTTGCTGCCGCAGCCCTCTTTCGCTTCTTCGATCCTTTCGAAGGCTTCGATGAAGGAGCAACAGTACTGAATAGTCCCTCCTCCGATCCAGTATGTTCATCAACATAGACCCAGTCAAATGGGTCTTTGAGGAGTTCTCGCTGCCTGAGAGTCTCCTTTGCTTCGTCAACGCTATACGCCCTTGAGAGTGTGGCGCCAAGCACGTGTGCCAAGAACACGTAGGGCATCTTCTTCTCCTCAGCTCTTGATTTCTTCATCACCAGCAGGATCTGACTTCCCTCTAGCATCTTTGGTCTCCGCTCAACGACGTCCACGAGTCGAGCGTCAGTGGCCGAGTAAGGTGCTAGATATCGCGACCGGATGGCATCGCGGAGGAAAGTGGATTGGCCAGCGCAGAGCAGATATGGGAGCCAGTCGACCACAGCCCCTTTCGAAATGCAAGTAGCAATCCAACGGTCCGATATGCACGGCAGCCCAAGTGCGAGGGCCTGCATGTACTTGACCTTACGAGAGTGACCATCAGCGATCAAGGCGGTGAAACCAATGGTCTGCGCAAACGGGGTCAGCGTCAGTGGATTCTCGTCCCTCGTTTCCGAGGCTGGGCTAGTTGCCGTGCTTCCGAGAGCGTTGGACTCGAAGAGCTCGTCAAAGCCATTGCTCAATAACAAGCCTCCGCACTGTAGAATCATTTTCTCCATTTCGCGGCTTTGGCCCATTCGTTGCTCGAAGTGATCCGCTTTTTCACCGTCCTTTTTCGATTGGAAAGATATCGCAAATGCCATGCCAGCAAAAATAGGAGGCTTACTGGCGTTGTCTTTCGACGTCGATGTGTGAGAGAGCATAGATAGGCGGCTGCCCCGGACGCTAGTCTTTGGAGGTTGAATAATGCTGTTCTCGAATCCGTTGACAGACGGTGATCGATGCAGCTCATCTGTCGATGCTGAATCAAGACGAGTTGCCCTCCTGACCTGCTTTCGGGTACCTTGCTTGGGAGCCCGCGATCCGGTGGCGAGTCTAGGCAAGGCCTTGGCAGGCTGGCGTCCACATCTCGACTTATCTGGTGAGAGAGGTGGTAGTTCAACCGATTCTTGCGATGCAGTTGGACTATCGGAGGATGGAACTGGCGTGGTTGTAAGTACGCTGAGTGTTGATGTTGTTGAGCCAGGGGCAGTTGAAGCGGCGGCATTGACACGAATGTCGGGCGTCGCCGGACCTTGCTCGGCAAGACTCTCACTAACAACCGTATTTGGAGTTCCAATACCCTTGATAGCTTTTGGTAGCGGCGGTGAAGATGGCATAGGCGGTTCGCCGTTCACCGTTGGATTCATTACTCCATCGGTCACATCTGTCGGTGTAGCTGTCGCCTCGTTGACCACCGTAGCACCAATTCCCTGCGACACTCGACCTGCATCTGGCTCGTCTTTAGTAGGTGATGTAGCCACGTTGGTTCCGGCGGCATCTGAGGACACGACGGTACTATTGGCACCTTTGAGAACCTGTGCCTTGAGAGTTGGCTTGGACTTGCGGCTCGATCGGCGAGAAGGCTGAGGGAGAGAAGGCTCTGGAGTCTCGGGTAGAAGCTCGACCTCGGCTTCAATGTCCTTTGGCTGGGTCACCGGTGCATCTGGTTCCTCTGCCTGTTGTGACTTCTTGATGTCCACTGACACGTCTAGCGGTATATCATCTCTCCCTTCTGGCCGGCATTGAGTATTGTTGGGACTGGTTTCCGGTATAAGGAGATCCTTAGGCCGAGATCCGGTGCCGGAGCTTTCTGTGCCAGGTACCACGCCATTTGAGGCAGACTTCTGGGTTGGTCCGGCGCTGTCGGGCACCGCATCGTTGCTCGAGACAAGGCCATTTTTGGAACCATTTTTTGCTTCCACAACGTCGGGCGAATTGCTAGCACGAGTCTGCTGATCGTTTGCGTTGCCTTGGGAATCAGCTACTGTAAACCCGTCGACCTCATCTTCGGATGCAGTCGAATCCTCCTCAGCACGTCGAGCACGGTATCGCATCCTCCTCGGCGGGGGTTTCCTCGGCTTTCGCGTTGTTGAGGGAACCTCCACAGACCCATTGGAACTTGCCCGCTGCACGGGAATTGTTGTAAGATCTTGCGCAGCCGCCTTCTTTTTCATTGCAGCACGTTTTCTCCGCTCCACTCTCGCGACCACGTCGTCGGATTCCTCTCCTGAAAGTTCGGGCTCAACCTCAGCACTCTTTCTTTTTCTCTCTTGAGATTCCATCATGCTTTCGTAAATGCCCATCGGTTCTGGTAAGCCCCGTGTGTTTGTGGTGGGCATTTGCGGAGACTCCGGTATGGTGCCATCTTCGAGAGGCCCAGAGTTGCTCGGGCTATGCTGGCGGTCGTGGGGCGCCGGGCCTCCGACTCGCAGGGCTTGAGGACTCGAAGAAAGCAAATCGGGAGGTGATGTGACGTTGTACCGGTTCTTAAGAGGCGACGTCTCGGCTATGTTAGGTGAGATGGAGTTGTGGGCGTAGACGTGCGGCGATGGTCTCGAAGAGGTAGGGCTGAAATGTTTAACGGCGGATGAGAACTGCGTCTGACCAAAAAGTTGAGATCCTGCTAAGGCAGGGTCGCCGAGCTTCTTCCCAGCAAAGGGGTTATGGCGTTGCGCTGGGGTCTGTGGCGGAGGGGCCGTCGGTAGTAAAGGGGACTGGCCGTCGGTACGCTGAACAGAGGATTGTTGCTGAGAACTGGAGGTGCGATTTCGCCAAGCTCCACGGGTGTGTATAGGGGCGGCATGGTCGGGAAAGGATGAAGGCTCTTCGTCGCCCTGAGTATCGCCCTGGGTGTCGCCTTGTATCAGATGGTCGAGATTGCCGAAGTCGACAACCGCGGAATCCTCCTCGTGGATCGCGGGCTGCTCGGTGCTGTGGTCCTGCGAAATGGGACTCGTTTCGACGAATGAAGGGCCTTCGTAGTAGTTCTCGTAGTCCCGATCGTCGTTATCTTGGGTGGGGGATTGCTGCGAGACGTCCATCTTGGCTTTCGTGGAGAGCGCGTGGCCCGAAGCTCTAGGGAGGGCATTGACTTTCCTCACGGTTTTGTCGGCAATGCATGGTGCGGGGACCTCGTCAAATATCGTATTTATCGCCTCGAATTCGATATGAGGCTTTGGGTCTGCTGCAAGACAATTCGAGTCGCTTCCGTGGTTGGGTTTTGTCGAGGACAGGCTCGTAGGAATTGTGTCGGGATCTGGGCCGCAATCAAGGCCTACGGCATCCGCAGCAGCAGCAACAATAGGCAACGCGGGTACCGGAGTTTCGTGATCGAGGTCGTGCTGGGGTAGCTATTCAGGTCAGTGCCATCCCAGCTCCATGTGAGACATACTTGTCGACTTGGTGGGGGCGTGACAAACCGCGTTTTCGGTGCTTCTTGTCTGCGGAGCAGTGCTGGGGAAAGATTGAGCAATTCGCTGACTGTCGCTTTGGCTCAAAGGATCAGAATGATGCGAATGAAGACTGTCGCGATGTCGTTTGTTGCCTCTCGGATTGTGTCGCGACGCGTTGGACGATGCTCTTGGGGGCGAGCTGCTTGTCTACGGGTGGTGCCCAAAATAGTTAGCGTAAGGTTGCAGCAAGGCCTGTGTCGTCGCAGTGCTAAATTGTTGCAATCAATCCAGTCCAATCCAATCCATTGCCCACCAGCAGAGCCACCAGACATGCTCAGGGCAGGCAGAAAATACGCCTCCACTCTGGGGGGGAAACGCCACCCTAGAAAAAGCAAAAATGGCCGTACGTACCACGCCGATCCCGTATTCTGCCACATATCGGTCGAAAATGGCTTGGCTGTCTTGCGATTCGTTATTGCCCTCGACGGCCTTCTTCTCTGCCGCTTGAAGGGTTTTGGACCGCGGCATCGTGACATCTCATTGTCGGACCGGCTTTGACTTGATGAACAGCAACGTGAATGACGCGACAATCATTCAGAGATTCAAAGATGGTGGGGGGAGGAAAAAGGTGGCAGGGGTCTAGAAGACGCGAGCGTATGAGACACGAGACCAACACGGTACCACGTGACCGAGTCGTTATGTCAGCGACTTCTCTTTATGTAAGCAAAGACTGTATGGCTCCTACCTTCGTGTCTTCCAGCTTCTTTCCTTGAAATAAAGTACTTTAACTATCTTAAGGTACTTACCTTGCTGAACAGGAAAGAGCTTCTGAGATTTTCACAGAAAAAGAGATTAAATTCTAGAATATTCGAAGTCTTTGGAAATAAAGAAACAAAAAGATAGCATTGCATGGCACAAAGAAGCCTGGCTTCTGCTTATTTTGCGTCTCCTGATGGGGTCCTTCTTAGGTAGACTGAAAGGTGGCATATCCGCTATTATTTAGCAGATTACGAATCCGCTTTGTCGCAACTCGACCACAAGATCCTTGTTTCAAAAGCAAATCTGGCAAAGACTTACGTGGCATTGCTCAACTTC